GCAAGGTTTCTTTTGAGAAATCAGCTGATAGTCTTATGGGAACCTCTTTGTAGATAACGCTCTCCTCTTCTCTTGCTGCTTTTAAGATTCTCTCCTTATCTTTAGTCTTGAGTAATTTAATTATGATGTATATTGGTGTGTTCCTTCTTGAGTCCAACTTCTTTGGGACTCTCTGAGCTTCCTGGACTTGCATGTCTATTTTCTTCTCCAGATTGGGGATGGTTTCCTTCATTATTTTTTCAAATAAGTTTTCACTTTCTTGCTCTTCCTCTTCTCCTTCTGGCACCCCTATGATTTGGATGTTGGAACAGTTAAAGTTGTCCCAGATGTTCCTCAGCTTCTCCTCATTTTTTTTTCTTGTTTCTTCATTCTGTTCTAGTTGAATATTTATTTCTTCTTTCTGTTCTAAATTGTTAATATGAGTCCCAATTTTCTTACCTTCACTGTTGGTTCCTTGTATATTTTTCTTTATTTTACTTTGTATAGCCTTCACTTCTTCCTTTATTTTGTGTCTGTACTCAGTCATTTCTGTAAGCATCCTCACTACCAGTGTTTTGAATTCTGCATTTGATAGGTTGTCTATCTCTTCATCACTTAGTTCTTTTTCTGGAGTTTTGCTCTGTTCTTTCATTTGGACCATATTTCTTTGTCTCAGAGCACCTGTTACATTTTAAGGGGCAGAGCTGTAGGTATTCACCAGGGTGTGGCAACCCATTTCTCTGTGTTGTAGCGCTGTATGTAGGAGACAGGTCAGAGAGGGAACAATATCAGTTGCTCAGCTCTTGCCCCACTTTCAGTCACTTTCCTTGATACCCATAAGCTAATTGGTCCCTTCTGTTGCTGATTCCCAGATAGGTGGGCTTGTGTATGTTCTAGGACCCAATGGGTCCCTCCAGCAGACTCTTCTGTGAGACTGGGAGCTTCTCTTGCCACCACAACCCCCACATGTTTTTATAGCCAGACTTTTCAAAGCTTTATGTCCCAGCACTGGAATCCTGGGTTGCATGGTCTGTCTTGCTCCCCAGCTGTTCCTCCGTCAAGTTCCCTCCGCCCCCGGCTGCCCATCTCCACCCCTCCTACCAGTCTGGATGAACGTTTCTTCTTTAACTCCTTGGTTGTCGAACTTCCATACAGTTTGATTTTCTGGCAGTTCTGGTTGTTTTTTGTTTTTAAATTGGTTGTTGTTCTTCTGGTTGTGTGAGGAAGTGAAGTGTATCTACCTACACCTCCATCTTGGCCAGAACTCTGGATGAAATACTTTTAGAAATCAAGAACTAGTACAACAGTGAGGAACTATTGATGTTAGATCATGAAAGGACAGGAAAGCAGAAGTTGAGACCAGCAGTAGGACTGCTTTTACCTTGGGGCCATTTGCTGAAAAGGAATTGGTGGAAGAGAATGAATTGTGTGGGGCAAGTGAGACAAAAATTGGAGTCCAAATGTCCCCAATGGTGAAAGCCTCAGTAAACCACTTTCTTATTTTTGGTTAGGATACTGGAAGGCTGCACTCAGAGGGAAAAACCCAAGAATAGGGTAAACTAGAAGTAGAAAACCCAGACACAAAATATTCAAAAAACAAAATTAAAAACAAATTGATAGGTTTAACAGCAAGTTAGACTTGACTGAGGATTGAGTAATGATTCAGAAGATAGGACATAAGAAATTACCCAGAATAAAGCATGGGTGAAAAAAAAATGGAAAACAGCTCTGGTTGATGTGGCTCAGTGGATTGCGTACCATTCTATGAACCAAAGGGTCAAGGGCTTGGTTCCCAGTCGGGGCACATGCCTGGGTTGCAGGCCAGGTCCCCAGCAGAGGGTGTGTGAGATGCAACCATACATTGCTGTTTGTCTCCCTGCCTCTCTCCCTTCCACTCTTAAAAAAAACGACAAAAACCAATTTTAAAAAAAGGAATGGAAAACATAAGAAAGGGTTAGAGACATAGAAGATACCTTGAGAAAGTCTGACCCACATTTATTTGAAGCCCAGGAAGGAGGGAAATAATAGGATAGATGTGAAAAAATAATATCTGAGAATCTTAAAAAGTGGATGAAATATGTCAAGCCACAAATTCAAGTTCCACAAAACTCAGGTAAGATTTTTTTAAAAATCCATATTTAGACCCGTCCGAATGAAACTGCAGGAAAAATAAAAATAAAAAATTTAAAATATGAAAAAGTATTAATTACCTTCAAAGTAGAAACCATTTGATTGACAGTTTTTTGTTGTTGTTGTTGTTTTCTTTTTCTTTCTTTCTTTTCTTTTCTTTTCTTTTTTACAATGAAAAGGAAGCCACAGCCAGTAAAATAATAGTGTAAATGAACTGAAAGAAAATAACTCCTGCTCTGGCTGTGTGACTTAGTTGGTTAGAACATCGTCCTGATAAGTCCAAGGCTGCAAGTTCCATCTTCAGTCAGATCAAGCAATCAACCAAAATCAACAAAATCAACAAAAATCAACCAATGAATGCATAAATAAGTGGATAGACAAATCAATGGCCCCCCTTCTTTAAAACCAATACATTAAAAAAAATTCCTAATCAAAAACACAAGTAAGAACAAAGTGGAGCCAGAGAGCTGGGATGGTTCTGCTAGAGAGTGAGCAGTTCCTGACAGAGCTGACCAGGCTCTTCGAGAAGGGCCAGCTGTCTGGCAGTGTGTTCAACTCCCTGAAGAAGTATGATGATGGAACTAACCCCATTCCAAGGAAAGGTTCTGTAGAGCACTTTGAGTCCTCAGGCAACAAGTGTCTGTTTGAAGCTACTGATGGGGAAGAGATCAGCACACTGGTGAGCTCCAAAGAAGTGAGTACGTTTCAGCGTGCACAAAGCTATCGAGAGCTAACATGGATGGGCTGAAGAGGGACAAGAAGAGCAAGTATAAGAAGGGCAAAGCAGCACAGTGAAGGGGACCGGATTCCCTGATTTCACCAACTAATCACTGAATTGCTATTTTTCCTTTGATTTTTGCGTTTGGCCTCAAAGCTAGGTTTCTTTTCCCCTACATTAACTATGTAGGGGAGCATAGGATGGAAGAATGTTTACAGGGTAGTTAGAAGAAGGCATTTTATTTTCGATCTGGCTAATTGGTCTGTGTTGCATAGTTGTGTATTCCTGGGTTATAGTTTAAAGCCCCTGCAGCCATCTGTGTGAAGAGGATTGTATCATTAAACCTGTCTATTTATCAGAAAGAAGAAAAAGAAAAGAAAAAGAAACACAGGTGAAATAAAGATTTAGTCATACAAATCAAAACCAAGAACGTTAGCCACTAGCAGATGGGCATTAATTCCTGAGCAGAAGGAATATTATACCAGATGAATGGTTGGAGTTGCAGGAAGGAATAAAGAGCATTAAAAACAATAACTCTAAATGACCACTAATTTAATTAATAAGTGCTAATGTCTTGTGGGATTAAAAATATATAGAGAATTAAATTCTGTGCTTATATACACCCAAACCTACCCAAGAGAAGTGAATGCATCTGGGCCACAAGAATCTTGTACAAAAAATGTTCAGAGCAGCTTTATTCATAATGTCCCCAAACCTGAAACAACCCAAACGTGTTTGTGTGTGTCTCAGCCAGTTGGAGGTCCTGAATTCATCAAAAGGAGAAAGGACAAACTGTGGCATAAGATGCAATGAAATGCTACTCATAAATAAAAAGGGGAAAATTGCTGATAAATGCAAAAATGTGGAAGAATCGTGAAACATACCAAGCAAAAGAAGCTAGGCAGAAAAAGTACGTATAGTGTGAATGCACTTATGTAAAGTTCAAGAAGAGTCAAAACTATTCTATGATAATAGAAATCAGAGTAATGATTGCCTCTAGGGGCAGGGCAAAGGGCTATGAATGAACTCTGGGGTGACAAAAATGTTCTTTATCTTAATCTGGGTGTTCATTATATAGATGCAATATATAACTCAAAAATAGTCGAGCTATGGGGTTAAGATCTATGCATTTTGTTGTAATAAATCATGTATCAATAAAGTATTTAACAGGACCACACAACAGCAGTATATAATTCTGGAGAGAGTGATAGTGGTAAGTGGAATTAAATTATTCCTGCATTTTCCATAAGGAAGGTAAAAATATTACATAAAATTAGACTTTGCTAAGTCAAGGATGCATGTTGTAATTTTTAGGGTAATCACGATAAAAGGAGAAAAAGAGTGAGCAACTTTCAATTAACAAAGGCGGGGAGGGAATAATAAACATTAATCAGTGCAAAAGAAGGCAAACGGGAAGGAAGGATTACAGGAAAGACAAAGCACACAGTCATCTGATTGATTTAAATACAAATACAGTATACCCGTGTATGTGTCTGGTGAAATCCAGTATAAAGGTGATATCTGCCAGTTTAAACAATGAGGAAAGAAGAGAAATGGGGCGGGGGGCGGGGTGGACTGGGCAGCAGGGATGGGTAAGGTCCTTCCCTCACTACTTCCCTTGCTTTCTTTTTCTGATCTCTCTCAGAAGCTGCCTCAGTTTCCCTTCTGGTCCTCACCATCACTGCTTTTTCCTCCTCTAATTCAATCGATACACTGCCTCCTTTTCTCAAAGCCGCTTCTGCGAAGGAACTCTTCGTGATTGCTTAAAATCCCTTCCTATTGCCACATTTAATTTGCTGATGGCAAAAACAGCTTCAAAAGGCTGCATTTTTGAGACAGGAAAAAAGTAGAAAGATGGCATTCATATCTATTGAAAAAGTAAAAATCCTATTTTAGGGGTGAAAAGGTAAAAAGTCCTGATAGCAGAGGATGGTTTCGATCCATCGACCTCTGGGTTATGGGCCCAGCACGCTTCCGCTGCGCCACTCTGCTACCTATGTTATAGCTGTCTCCTGTTTCCTATAGAAAGTTTCCTACTTGGTCTCTGTCCTGACTTTTTTTACAGGGTGCCGCCTACTGTCCAGTTAAGAAAATTATCATTTTCCGGGTAAACCAATAGGCAAAAACGGAGGAGTAAGGCGGGAGCCAATCGCAACAGAGTTTGTTGGGATACGCCGGCGAGCCACCTTTCCGGGTGTAGGCTCCTCAAGAGGAGAGGGGCGGTTGGTGTGGTTTCCATTGTTCGGGATTTAGGGCGCCATGAGGTAAGGGCACTGGGTGCTCTGGGAAGGTTTGGTGTATTTGGCCGAAAATTTTGGGAAGGTGGGCCGAAAGGAGGCGGAGGACGCGAAAGGACCACGTGTCTGGGGGCTGCCCTAAAACCTGAGAACTCCGGATCTGGGCGAGTGGGGGAGGTCCGAGGCCGCGAAGGCGGGGAAACCTGGGCCTGGAATAGTGATGGGGCCCAGCAGTGGGGTGGCGGGTTCGGCAGCTCGGTTTCTGAGAGGCTTAGGCGAAGGGACGTCCTCAGGTCCCCGGAGGAGCACCCCTCTTGCCCCCCATCTAGCCTGAGAAGCCTTGAACGTGTCTCATTCATCCTCTGCCAAGTGCTTGATGGGATATGCCCGATAAATGTTTTAATACGTTAATAAATCAGCAGTTACTTTAGAAGTGTTAGGGTTGGCGTGTCCTGGCATTACGGGGTATTTCTTGCAGGGGCTCAGTTTCTGAGCTCCGTCAATATTATTGGGTGTAGGTTGTGATTAAATTATCCAGAACGAGGAGGTCATGGGGCGAGGCTGGGCCTTTTGAATGGGGAGAAGTGTAAGTGGGAATGGGGATACGTGGCTTCCAAAGGAAAGTTCAGAGCGATGGAAGTAGGCGAACTTGAAATGATATGGCCGAGATTTCTTTAAGGTCAAAACAAGTTAGTCTGTTTATGCACTTACAGGGGCGACAGAGGCCGAGGTCGTGGTGGGCGCTTTGGTTCCAGAGGAGGCCCAGGAGGAGGGTGAGTGCCAGCTTTTAGCATCTCTGCACTGGTTAGTTTCCATTTCAGTCATCTAAATAGTAGTTTGGAGTGGGCTACTGTCACCTGCTTTGTGAGATCCAGCTGTGACTTAGAATCCATACGCTCTCCTGCTAAATGAGTTTGGCCCCATTCTGCTAAGTCACTTGATTTCTGTAGTTGATAACTTTGATTGTTTCTCTTGTTTTAGGTTCAGGCCTTTTGTGCCACATATCCCGTTTGATTTCTATTTGGTGAGTACCGTGGCCCCTGTTCATTCGTTGACATAGAAATGGAGCCTGACCACTTTTCATTTGTAGTTTCCTGGAGCCCAGCATCTCCCTGTTAAAATAGTGGTCGCAGGAGGAGAAGGGATTAGTGTACAGAGTTGGGGTTTTGAGTCAGCTGAGTTGCTGTACATACAAAAACAGTATAAACTGGATGGGTAAGCTAATTTGAACATCTAAGGGAATAAAAACAAGTGTAAAATTTTCAATTTTTTCTTTTGCATCAACAAAAGCCAGTTTCTCCTGTATATAATTTTTTTAAAAAAGATTTTATTTATTTTTAGAGAGGGGAAAGGAGGGGGAAAGAGAGGGAGAGAAACATTGATCTGTTGCCTCTTGTCCACACCTGGACCAGGGACAAAACCTGAACCTGTGCATGTGTTCTCGTTTTGCAGCACAGTGCTTAGCCAACTGAACCACTCTGGTCAGGGCTCCTATATATTATTTTTTTATAAATAACAGTTGTTTGCTTCTGGTTTAGTGTGAAATGGCCTTCCCCCGGGTCAAGCCGGCACCTGATGAAACTTCCTTCAGTGAGGCCTTGCTGAAGAGAAATCAGGACCTTGCTCCTAATTCTGCTGAACAGGTATATTCTTTCGGCATTCTTTCTGCGATTTCTCTAAGAAAGCTAGGGAAGTGAGTAACTACTGGTGAAGTTACTGTTATCAGAGCCTGATCTCCACAGGTTTATATTAGCTGTGCCTTATACATGGCGGATATGTTCCAAGACCCCCCACTGCATGCTGAAACTGCAGAAAGTACTGAACCCTGAATGTACTATCTTTTTTCCTATATATGCACACTTCAGATAATGTTTAATTTATAAGTCAGACACAGTATGTGCTTAACAGCAATAATTACAATAGAACAATGATAATATACTGTAATAAGTTATGTGAATATCTCAAAGTATCTTATTGTACTTTTTTCCTTGACAATGTGAGAAGATACAGTGCCTACATGATGAAATGAAGTGAGGTGAATGACGGAGGCAGGCATTGTGACGTAGGCTTAGGCTACTTACTATAAGGGTTACTTGAACATAAGCACTATGACACCTCAGCAGTTGATCTGATAACCAGAAGGGCTCTGGGTGGGTAGCATATGCAGTATGCATGTGCTGGACAGAGATGATTCATGTCCTGAGGGGGATGGTGCAAAATTTAAAACTTATGAATTGTTAATTTCTGAAATTTTCCATTTAATATTTTCAACCGTAGTTGACTGGGTAACTGAAACCATAGAAAGCCAAACCATGGCTAAGGTGGGGGGGGACTACGCTGATTGTTCTCCATACTTCTCATTGTGGGTGGAGGGAGAGTGCGAGATGACATATATTTTCGTATATTTACTGGGGAATCTGTCTTTGAGATCAAAAAGTTGATTTCTTCAGGTATGTTCAAGTCTTCAGAGGGTTCAGAGTGTTTTCAAAGCACTATGTTGGTATTGATTTAGCCTGTATCGAAGGGACTAGGGGGAAATGGTTAAACTGACAAGTTGCTTACAGTTTTTCACCTTAGGTTATTTTTATTTCCTGCTGTTTTTCAGGCCTCTATCCTGTCTCTGGTGACAAAAATAAACAATGTGATTGACAATTTGATTGTGGCTCCAGGAACATTTGAAGTGGTGAGTTTTTGATGATTTAGTGCTAGAAAAGGGTAGGCTTAGTAAAATGGAAATTTCATTGGCTTCTTTCTGGTACTGATTTTGGGGGCAAGACTTGTATCTTGCTATTAGCTAGGCATGATGCATCAGGCTTTTTGTGTGGTTTTGGGATATGATTTGACCTCTGCAACTTCCAAATCTGGGTAATAAGCTTTATTGTAATCAAACTCTGAAAGGGTTTTAGGCCTGAACCTAAAACCCTTTCTTTTCCCCTTTTTTTCTTTATTCGGAAATCCCTTTTCCAAAAGCAAATTGAAGAAGTCCGACAAGTTGGGTCATATAAAAAGGGAACGATGACTACAGGACACAACGTGGCTGACCTGGTGGTAATCCTGAAGATCCTGCCAACATGTGAGTGTACCTCTCTCTGGCCATGGGGACAGAGCATAGCAGTGGGATATGAGGCACAGGGATCTTTAAAGCCCAAATTTCTTGTGAGAAAGGCTGTTTGGAAGACAAATGGGAAAATGATACTATGGAAGTTCTTTAGTTTTTTAATCTTCTCATGAAAAATCTGTACAGTCACCACAGATTAAATTCTCTAAAGAATCTTTACTCCTTCTGTTGTCCAATCCCTAGCTCACTTTTTGCCAGCACCATTGTTGGCCTTTGCAGTCTCCCTGACTTTCTTTATTCTGTTCTTGCATTCCTTTCTCTGTTTTGTTGAGGGTCTTGTCATTTAGGCGATGTGTTGCAAGTCTGTATTTGGGTTCATTTTTGTTTGCCTAATCCAAGGAATCATAAATCATGCCAAAGCCAGTTGTCTTATCACCACCAAAATGGGCTCTGAATGCAAACACAAAGACGACATTTGGTGTGGTCTTATACACCTCGGCTAGTTTCTCCTGAGTTTCTGCTCTAAGTACTGTTGCTTTTCCAGGGTGAGGGATGTCAGTGATCATTTGTTTCCACTGAAGTAGTCTGTTGGTCTGAACTTCCTGGTCACCATAGTTACTGTGTTGTTCATGATGGTGGCTGATCTTCAAGCGGCTAGGGAGGGAAAACATGGAAAATTTATTTTTTTAATGTGTAGGGGTCATAAGGGACAAACTCTGAAGTATGTGTCTGAAAGAAGGTATGGCCACCTGGGCGTGTAGCGCAGTTGGTTAGAGCATTGTCCCTGATACACTGGGTTTGTGGGTTTGATCGCTGGGCAGGGCACAGACACTGATCAACCAGTGAGCCCTGGCTGGTGTGGCTCAGTGGATTAAGTACTGGCCTAGAAATGGAAAGTCTCTGGTTCATTTCCCATTTAAGGCACATGGTTGGGTTGCAGGCCAGGTCCTCAGCTGAGAGCATGCAGGAGGCAACTGACCGATATTTCTCTCACACATTGAAGTTTCTCTCCCTCTCTTTCTCCCTCCCTTCTGTTCTCTTAAGTAAATCAGTAAAATCTTTATAAAAAACACACAAGAATCAACCAATGAATGCATAAATAAGTGGAACAGCAAATGGATGTTTCTCTACCCCTTTTCCTCTCTCCCTCTTCCTTTCTCTAAAATCAATAAATAAAAAAAAAGAATGTATAGCCAGTTACTATAGGTTGGACTTACTCAAACGGGAGTGATTTTGCCCCTTAGGGGACATTTGGCAGTGTCTGGAGATATGTATGGGCTGTTGGCATCGAGTGGGTAGAGGCTGCAGGATGGACCCTACCCCTCAACTTCCAAAAAACTATCCAGCCCAAAGTAGCATTAGTGCCACCCTCCTGTGGAAAAGGGATGTGGGAATAGGAGAAAGTGTCCTGTGCCCTGAGTCTTGCAATTTCTCTGTCCAGCCAGTAGCTTCCCTGTTGCAAAAGTGCTTTTTCTATCACTTGCTCTTACTCCAGCCTTGAACACGGGGCAGAAATCAGAGCAGGTAGTAGATAATAGTAATGTTTATTATCTCCTTTTCTCTCATTCTAGTGGAAGCTGTTGCTGCCCTAGGGAACAAAGTCGTGGAGAGCCTAAGAGCACAGGATCCTTCTGAAGGTCTGAGTTTGTTGCTGAACATGTGTTTAGTACTCATAGGAGCCAGGTCTGTAATTCTAAGTACATAGCTAACAAAGTCTGGTCAGGCTAGAAGGAAGAGTGAATGAAGAGTTTTCTGTTGGGGAAGTTTTGGCAGAGATCTCCCTTACTTTTGAAACTCTGTATTGTAAATCCTCATTTTGAACTGCTGCTGCTTTTGAAAACCCATCTATTTCCCCTGCCCTGGATTTATTTACCTTTGATTATCTGATGGAAATGTGCGAGTTAGAGTTTTGAGTTTTCTTTTTTCTTTTTTTAATTATTTTTTCCATTACCACTCCTCCCCTTCCCTCTCCTACTTCCACCCTCCACCCTAATTTTTCTCTTTCAGTTTTGACCATGCTGACCAATGAAACTGGCTTTGAGATCAGTTCTTCTGATGCTACAGTGAAGATTCTCATTACAACAGTGCCACCCAATCTCCGAAAACTGGATCCAGAACTCCACTGTTAGTACTTTTATTCCATTGCTGGGAAATTTGGGGGAAGTTCAAAACATGGTATAAAGTTGCTGTTCCACATGAAATAGCCTAGGACCTAAGTTTACTCTCAAGATTTGCTACCTCCGTCTGTAATGTGAAGACAGGTTTGCTAACTGAAATTGTCAAAGACAGGATGGCCAGAAAAGCAATTTGAGGACTTAAGAAAAAGAACCAAGGAAATGTTAATGGAGGTGGGCTAGGCTTGTGTAGAAAATTGTGGATCTTGTATGCTCCTAGATTTGAGCTAGGGGACAAGTAGTGAGTGTTGGACAAAGGATAAGGAATTACATTATCCTGTCCTCTTTCTAAGTTACTGAGCTATGGCAATGGGATTGCATTGCTTACTTAGTAATAGAAATGTTTCAACTTGGCCCATTATGCTTCTAGTGGATATCAAGGTGTTGCAGAGTGCCTTAGCAGCCATCCGACATGCCCGCTGGTTTGAGGAAAATGCTTCTCAATCTACGTGAGTCCCTCCCTCAGTATTGAGATAACCTAACCCTCTAACTACAGTGAATAGCAGGATACCCCTGTACTACCTGACAGAACTTTTTTGGCTTCCAATTTTCTGTCTGGATTTTGAATTTTACCTCAAGCAAGCAAATTTAAATTGAGAAAAATGAGAATGCATAGTTCTGCAAATAGCTTCAGCTGTATACCTCAAGTGTGGAAGTACATGGTCATACTACTTTTAATCCCTGGGTTCCTCTTACCGTCAGAGTTAAAGTTCTCATCAGACTTCTGAAGGACCTGAGGATTCGTTTTCCTGGCTTTGAGCCCCTCACACCTTGGATCCTTGATCTTCTCGTAAGTAAAGAAGGGAAGTTGAAGTACCGTGTCACACCTGTTTATCAGGAGTCACTGATGTCTACCAGAATCTGAAATTTGGTGAAGCTTAAAAGAAACCTCATTGTGGACAACTAACCCAATAAAGATTCAGTGTTTGTCCGGCTGGTGTGACTCGGTTGGAGTGTTGCCCTGTGCACTAATGGGTTTTGGGTTTGATTTGTGGTTGGGGCACATGCCTGGGTTGCAGACTTGGACCCTGGTTGGGGCATATACGAAAGATGTGTAATTGATGTTTCTCTCATCAAATATGTATTTAAGAAAAGAGATTTAGTGCTTATTGCTTGACAGGGATTTTTTGAGAGCATTAAATGAGTAGTTATTACTGCCCCTTTGTCTTTTTTATTACTGCTGTCATTTCATTAACATGATAATGGAGAGAACATACCAGATGAGCGGTCACTTCAGAATCACTTCTGAGTGTGAAAATTTTGGCTAGGCCTTAATAACTAGTTTTCCTCATGATGGTTTAAGGTTGTAGTTGGTTCGAAGATAGTTATTTTTTATGGCACACCTACCAGATTTATTGTTTTCCAGGGACACTACGCCGTGATGAACAACCCCACCAGACAGCCTTTGGCCCTAAACGTGGCATACAGGTACAGCGCGCCTCTCTGGGTTTGGGGCTGGATGTAAACCGTCTTGGTGTTTTAATACTGCTCTGTGTTTCAGGCGTTGCTTGCAGATTCTGGCTGCAGGACTGTTCCTGCCGGGGTCAATGGGCATCACAGACCCCTGTGAGAGCGGCAACTTCAGAGTACACACAGTCATGACTCTGGAGCAGCAGGTATTGGGACAGCTCTGAAATGCCTCGTTCTTGAATATCCTTGGGTCAGAAGGCAAAGGGAATGTGGCCTTTAGGGGTCAGAGATTTGGGGGTTCTCACATACTTTGGTATTGAAATTAAAAAGTTACGTCATGAGAATGTTAGTCAAATAAAGGTACTTCGATTCTTGCTTATTTACCCTCACTTTGCTCTCTTTCAGGACATGGTCTGCTACACAGCTCAGACCCTGGTCCGGATCCTTTCACATGGTGGCTTTAGGAAGATCCTTGGTCAGGAGGGTGATGCCAGCTGTGAGTGACCACTGGGCCAGGGGTTCTTTAGGGTATTTTGTTCTACAAAGAAGCTCTACACTACTCAGATATCTTAATATTCCCACTGTGTAGATCATGACTTCTATGCTGGGCTACTTGTTTGAAGTCACCTTTTTTACTCTTCTAGATCTTGCTTCTGAAATATCTACCTGGGATGGAGTGATAGTTACACCTTCCGAAAAAGCTTATGAGAAGCCACCAGAGAAGAAGGAAGGAGAGGAAGAGGAGGAGAATACAGAAGAACCACCTCAAGGAGAGGAGGAGGAAAGCATGGAGACTCAGGAGTGACCGTCCTGTATCTTCACCCTGTATTACCCAGAGGGAAGACTGGAGCTTGATTAAGCTCATTGCTACTGGGCTTTATATGGTGGCACTTCTGCGGGATGGGGAGACAGGAAGGAAAATAAAAATAAACTATGGAAGGAAGTGTCATCCCACTTAGTTCTTATATTGACTTAATAGCCAGAGGTCTCCCATCTATAGTGAAACAGGATAATGACTTTTCTTCATAATACTGTACAATCCCTAGCTCCTGGAAACCTCTCTCAAGCAGTACTTTGTTGTTGAAATGTCAACTGTTCATGCCTTGAATTTTTTTTTTCTAAGAAAAATTATTAAAGTACTTCCTAGTAGGGCTCTTGGTCTTGTTTTTCTGTGGTATGTGGCCACCTTTTTTGCTTGCTTTTTCTTTCTGTACTTTCCATGGAAAATGCTACTCAAACCCTGGCCGGTGTGACTCAATGGATTGAGCACTGGCCTGGGAACCAATAGGCCACTGGTTGATTCCCAGTCAGGGCACATGCCTGGGTTGTGGGCCAGGTCCTCAGTTGGGGGTGTGCAAGAGACAAGCAATCCATGTACCTCACACACTGTTTCCCTCTTCCTCCCTTCCCCCCTCAAAATAAATAAATAGAACCTAAAAAAAAAACAACCAAACCCGGAAACTACTTTCATTGTGAACACCAGATCACAATTTGAAGCTGTATTTGAATTAAAGTACAGGCTCTTGGAACCTTTCTATATACCAGAGTAAACTAGATTACTGTTTGAGCATTTATTGAATTAAATGGTTTTAGCAACATTGCTACTGCATTCAAGCTAGTGAAATCCATGAAGGAGGGGAGATAGGTCATTCACACTGACTGCCCTCTCCAAATCCTCAGTATAAATAGAATGGGAACTCACAGGTAGAGGACATGCTACCTAAATGTCAACAACCAGTCATGTAATAGGAAGGCCCTCCCTGGTTCAGCCAGGCTTGAAAGTAAAGGTGGGCCTTGAGTATGTACCTTTAAAATGTCAAATGTAGCCCTGGCCTGTGTAGCTTGGATGGAGTGGAGACCAAAAGACAGGGTTAATTCCTGGTCAGGTCACATACCCAGGTTGTGAGTTTGATTCCAGGTTGGGGCACATTTCTCTCTAAAAGCAATGAAAACAATGTCCTTGGGTGAGGATAAAAAAAAGGAAAATCCAATGTAGAAGTCTTAGCTCATTCTTGGAAGGAAGCAAGAGCTGTAATCCTTTGGGATCTCGAGTCCTGTACATAGGCGTCTTCGGAGTCCCACATAAATAGGTAAGACTTAAGTGCTTCAAACACAAACGACAGGACGGACTGGATGTCCCAAAGTTTATAGGGTATCCTGGAGGAAATCAGGCAACTGGAAAATAGTACTTGTGCTCTCCTGAGGCCATGGGACCATCTTTTGGCCTGCTACTTGCTTGGGGAGCCAGGGGGGTAAACTCCTGAATCCAGCATTGCCCTTCTTCGGGCTGTTTCCTTGGCAACACTGTGGTTTAGCCGCCTCAGCCGTTCCTACAAGACAAGATTTGGAAAAGGATAACTCCTCTGGAAAAGGCTTTAGAGCAGGTGCTGGAAAGTATCACAGGTTCACTCCATCTCAATGTTGTTGTTCTAAGGTATAGAAGAATGTAAATTACAGCAACTGGGTATTGAGAACAAACAGTTCTGTTATGGCAGACACTGATTTAGTTGACAACTCTCCTTCCCCAATTGAAAAATTTCATCTTTCACTGTGTTGGGGATTTTGAGGCATCCCTTGAAAACTGGAGCTATATCCTGAAAACTTAGAAAGCAAAGAATCACTGTTGGTAGGAGAGTCTTTTACCTGGGCATTCTGTAGAATGTTGTTAACCAAGACAACTCGTCGCCGGGCATTAAGTAGCTTCTTCACATAGGGGTCGAGATCCAGGGCTACTTTCTGATCCTCATTGATACGACACAGTTCTGTGGGTGGAAGTAATGTGCAACTAACACCTACTGGCTCATTTCTTGTTCTTAGGCAAAGTAGGCTAGTAAATGGGATGGAAAACACTCTTGCACCCACATGGGCCACAGTCACTAGAAACTTAAAGATATCTGTTGGCAGCGTTGCTGTGCTGCAAGGAAATGACAGTAAACCCAGCCCAGAGGACGGCAAAACACAAGGTTCTGAAAGTGAACTGGAGAATTTCGGATACACAGATATGCTTACTCACCAGTAGCTAGGTTGTCAATTTGTTCCCGCAGCTCTACCTGGCTCTCTCTGCAAAGAAGTTCAAGGCCTACAGGGTCAATCAATGGAACTCAAGAAACCCGTCCCCCTACGTGCTTCCCAACTGCAGAGAGAAGCCAGCCTCCCACCCCACCGAAGCCGCCCCGCCCTCGTCCAGCTTCCCAAAAGTATTCTACTCAGTCGCTTCACAACCCGGGTAGAAACCCACCTTGGCTCCACTCTTCCTTGGCCCCACCCCTCCAAAGCCTAATCGAGAGGCTCCGCCCCAACTTTCCCTCTCCGGCACCTGACGGCGTGAACGTGAGAGTCAAGCTGCTGCACAGCAGGTCGCAGGAACTCGAGGAGCCCCTCGGCGAAGAGGTCGCGGCCTGCGGTACCGGCCACCGGGGTCCCTGCCCTGGACACAGCAGCGGAACTAACCCCCGCCATCACGGTTTGCCCTTACGCCGGAACCTGCCGCGAGGGCCGCCGGGAACTGAAGCCCGGCTGAAATGGCCGCGAGGGGGCGCCCGGGAAGTGCGGCTCCCACCCAGACTCTGAGGTTTCTGGGAAATGGAGTCTGGAGCGCGCAGGGTGGGGAGAAGGGCCGCGCCTTCGTGCTCTGGGGAACTGTAATTGTTCATAGGCCTTGAAGGGGCAGATATTTTTTAAATCTCCAGACTTCAAGAGCTAGGAGAAGGAATAATTTTGGGAGGGGTGGGTACTTTTTGTTTTCTCTAAAGATGAACAATAAATTCTTATATCCATAATTATCCATAGCCTTGTTATGTTAACTTTGAGAAAAACAATACATTCATAGTATAGTTTTATATTTCTAAATTGCAAGTGTATTTTAATGGTACTAAAATATGTAAAAAAACCCGCGTATTAATATTATTCACCCTTAAAAAGGAATGAAATCCTACTACCTGCTACCATATAGGTTAACCTTGCAGACATTATGGTAAGTGAAATACGCCAGTCACAAAAGGACAAATATTTATGATTCCACTTAGATGCAGTGCCTACAGCAGCCAAATTCATGAAGATAAAATGTTTCATTTCTGTATCAGAACAGTATTGCCCTGGCTGGCGTGGCTCAGTGGATTGAGCTCTGGCCTGAGAACCAAATGGGGACCTGGGCTGCAGGCCGGGTCCCCAGTGGGCGGCGTGTGAGAGGCAACCACATATTGATGTTTCTCTCTCTTTCTTTTTCCCTCCCTTCCCCTCTGCCTAAAAATAAATACATTAAAACAACAACAACCACAACAAAGAACTGTGTAGCCAAGGGCTGTGGAGAAGGGAAAATGGGGAGTTACTGTTTAATGGATACCTTCTCAGTGTGGGATGTGTATTAGTGATGGTTGTACAATAATGTAATTTACTTAATGTCATTGAGCTATACACTTAAAAATGATTAAAGTGGTAAATTTTATGTGATGCATATTTTGTTACAGTAAAAAAAAAAATTAGCCCTAACACGGTGGTTCAGCCAGTTGGAACGTCATCCAGTGCAACCTGTGCATCAAAGGGTTGTGGCTTTGATTCCCTGTCAGGGCACATACCTGGGTTGCTGAACTGATCCCCAGACTGGGGGAGTTGGGTGTGTGTGTGTGTGTGTGTGTGTGTGCGCGCGCACGCACGTGTATGTGCGCGCGTGCAGGAGGCGGCTGGTCCATGTGGATGTTTCTCTCTCAATCTGTGTTTCTCTCCCATCTTCTCTCTCGGGTGACAATTAAAAAGTACACACATTAAAATTAAAATATAAAACTTGCATGTGTTTCCATATTTTCATTGTTTTTCCTTCCAAAAGATTGCTAAGTTTTGTTTCATTTTTATGGCTTTTCAGAAAGTTTACATCTCTTTTTGGTTTTTCAGCAAGAGGCACAGCCCTCTGTCCCAGTGGCTCACAGTTCTATGGGCCATGGGGGAAGAGGTGCCTGTAGAGATGAATGGCCACCAGGTGATTCAGCCTTGAGTTCATTCTCAGGAATAAAGGAGATGTTTAAGTCACTGTGGGACATGCTGGTCAGCAGCCGTAAACCTGAAACCCCTAACTGTGGTAATTTTAAAGCTTTGTACACTTTTTGTTTGTCTACCATTTCCCTGTATCCTTCTCTCTAGTGATTAGAGGTAAAGCTCTCATGAGAGGCTGGGGAATTCTTTTGGGAGTAAGTAGTAAGGAAGTGAGTATCTAGGGCAGTGCAGCCTGCTTCACAGTCAGGCCTTCAGAAGGGGAAGCCCAGGAGGTAGACAGAGAAAGTGGTGACACTGTTGAAGAGGAAAGAGAAGAGGGCCAAGTCCTTCGGGCCTGAGAGAGAACGAGGACTGGCCTGGACTGGGAAAGAAAGTTGATGGCCTAGTATTTAGACACAAAGCCCCTGCATTAGGCTGCAGGTCTTTCTTTTCGGGTACCTCTCTGAAGTAGTGTTGCCAAATTAAGAAAACAGAACAAACAAAAACCTTGGGACAGTAGGTAAATTTGAATTTTAGATAAACAACACATAATTTTTAGTATAAGTTATCTTACTTCTAAGGCTAGCTCTCTGAGGAAAATTACTTTGTTTTGTTTTATGCTTTCCTTTCCACTCCTGTTCTCATCACCTTGAGTTAGCTATTATCTCTTGGGAGGACATTGCAACACTCTCCTGACTGATCTTGCTTCTAGTCTTTCTACCCTCCAGGTCACTCTTCATTCTAAAATACCAGTCAGATGACATAATAACTTTGCTCAGAGAAAGTAAGTGCTGAAAGGGACATTTAGAATCCTTCTTTCCTTGGTTTCTTGGACACTTCTGTGAGGCAAGACTGGGCAAGGGTCTTACAGAAACCCTGAAGTTTGATAACACGTTGAAGGCCCGTGCTGGTTCAGTTATTCATTCTCTAAACACTTACCAAATTCCAGGCATCACGACACAAGGCATTCAGCACAAAACCCCCCTCTTCCCGGCTTGCACCCATGTCACATTGCAGTGGCCTTCCAGTCCTTGGCTTTTCCATAGAGACTGAAGGAGATGTAGGTCATAAGAACTCCCCTCTCTTCTGTCTCCCATCTCCCCGCCCCCTCTGTGGTACTTAGGTTGACCTGCCCCCTCCTTGCTGGGGACTTCAAAGTGGGTCTCAGGGTAGGTCCATGAGGAAACTGTAGGAACAGATGTTCTGGCTCATACAGTGCAGCCACACAGTGCCCTCTGCCTGGCAGGCTGGCTGCAGCCCTGCACTCAATGTGGACCATGGATGGCGCAGAGGGGGTAGTCAGGGTTATCAGAGGGTCCTGCTTCGGGTGGTGCACACAGATACCGGTAGCGATGATGGCTTTAACTGGGGAGGGGGGCCTGAGAGTGAGATTTCTTCAGGCTCGTTAGGTCCAGGTAAGGGACAGGGGCTTCCTGGTCCACCCTGCTTTCTGGGAGGTCAGAGCTTTGTTTAGGGAGCCCTACAAATGCTTCAGAGGCAGAGCTGAAGCGGGCAGCAGTAGTGGTATGTGCAGGGATGGGGTAGGATGGGCAGTCAGGAGGCCTGAGATTCCAGCTGTCTTATCAACTGGTGTTCCTGGACAGCTGCCATGTCACCTCCATGGGTGAATTCTCTGGTCAAACCAATATCAGGTCAGACTCTAGGGCTCCTGCTTATCACAGGGGAGTCAGAGTCTGAGGGTGGGGTCCTGGCGTTGGTAGCACTCGGAACTGCGAAGTGGCTGAGGAGGTCTGCTCTTTTCTTTTATCCTCTTTGTCTAACTTTCCCCTGTCTTCTCTTTTCTCCAGTTGCTGACCTGGCTTTCCCCCTGAAATGAAATTCCTTTAAAAGATGGGCTTTTTGGTAAAGTCCAAATGGTAAAGTTTAGAAATTTTGGGAGAGTTTGGTCTCACAGATAGCTTTTTCACTATGTGTGTCTCCCATCCCTGTGTTTCTGGGTTCCTGGACCCAATTCCAACATGTATTTACCTGTGTTACCCTGACCTCCATTACAGGACAAAATTCAACTGAGTAAATTTGAAGACTAATTAGCTTTATTAAGCAATTCATAAATTTCATGAATTGGGCAACATCTCATCTAGCAACTAGAAGGGTACCCCCAGGAGCTGTATAAATTGGAAGGTTTTTATGGGCAGAAAGAGGGTGGAACAAGAAAAGTAAGAATGGATTATTTCAAGCAAAGTTTCCTTCCCTTAGGTTAAGGCAGGGGGTCTTACCAGGCAAATTACCTCACTACTGCTGACCAGGTAATTCCAGACTAATTGGTTTACAATTCCACTCCTGGAAGAAACTAAAACTGCAATTAGATTAGTTATTAAATTTTGGTTTGGTGCTGTAGCTTAGCAAGAGTGAGTCCATTTTTTTTTTTTTTTTTTTTTTTTTTTTAACACCTCCAACAAGCAATTCTTAGATACCAACTGAGTGAGAGTTCAACTCAATTCTGACGCTATCTTCCTGGACAGCCCACCAATCAGGAGCATCAGATCTCACAGGTTGAGGATTCCTTCCTACAAGATCCACCCCACCACCCCATTTCAGATGCCATCTGAAAATCCAGGTTGTTACCTGTGCTTCTGACTTATTGGCTATAATTCAGAAGTTCCCATGAAGGCCTCCTAGAGTCCCATTAATTTGTTAAAGCAGCTCACAGAACTCAAACATTTTACTTACTAGACTACCAGTTTATTATAAAAGGATGTAACTCAGGAACAGCTGGATGGAACAGACGGAAGAGATGAAAGAGCACAAAAGATGGTGAAAGGGCACAGAGGTTCTGTGACCTCTCCTGGTGCTTCTCTCTCCTCCAATCTCCACATGTTCACCAGCTTGGAAGCTCTCCAAACCCTTCCTTTGGGTATTTATAGAGGCTTCATTACATAAGTATGTTTGATGAAGTCATCAGCTATTGGTGCTTGAACTCAACCTCCACCCCTCTTCCCTCCCGGCAGGTGGGCAGGTGCGGGGGCGCAGAGTGGGGAGGAGGGGAGAGGGGACTGAAACTTCCAACTCTTTAATCACAAGATTAGTTCTTCTGGCAACCAAACTTTACCTTCAGATGGGGTCCAAAAGCACCTCCTTAATGTAACTCAACCTGTAGCCTCCTCAGAGGTCTGGGAGTGGGACTGGAAATTCCAATCTTCTAATCATCTGGTTGGCTCTATTGGCAACCAGCCCCTATCCTATGGGGCTCATTAACATAACAAGACACCATTATTGCTCTTATCTCATGAAATTCCTAGGGTTTAGGAGGAGATTAAAATAGTATAGGAAATGGAGAAGCCAAAGAACTGTGTATGACCCTAGGACGTGAACTAAGGGGGGAAGGGGATGCTGGTGGGAGGGAGGGTGCAAGGTGTAGGGGGATAAAGGGGAGAAAAAAATGGGACAGCTGTAATAGCATAATCAATGACATATACTTAAAAAAAAAAAAATCCTAGGGTTTTAGGAGCTCTGTGCCAGGAACAGGGTTCAAGACCAAATACATATGTCTCATATATCACATATTATACCATACATGTGTTTAAATCTTAAGCAAATAATCACATTACCCTAAAGGGCAAAGAAATTAAATAAATCAAGCCTAAATGGAGAATCAAGTTGTCAAACTCAGAGTCTGGAGGTTTTGTGAGAAATAAATGATAAAGATTTATTAAAGAGTCTTGACATTTGCAAACTTGGAACACAGCTAGACAAAAACTCAGAAGTGTTCCAAAGAAGGAAAAGTTAAGAGTTTTTAGAGAAAAAATGTACATTCTTGTGTTCTTAGCCCCAGGGTTGGTCCAGGATGGTCCTGGATCAGTTAGATGTCAGGTGGTCTGGCAGATGGACACCAATTCTGGACAAGTCCAGTGCTCTGGTTATGTGAGTCCTTCAAAACAAAACCAGGGAATTACCTGGAGGTCCAGATATACCTATAGGCATTGATGCAGGACTGAAAATTTCAAAGTTTAAGTCTCCAGGCTAGTTAGAACAAGAACTGTCTTTTATATTGTTGATAATTTTAGCAACTTGATTAAAGCAGCTGTTTTTTATTCCCTATTCTTCACTCTTTCCTCAAAGCAACTCCTTTAGAGCAGTGATCCCAGCCTTTTTGGTACCAGGGACCAGTTTCATGGAAGACAATTTTCCTATGGATGGGGGCGTGGGGCAGGGTGGAGCTCAGGCAGTAATGCGAGCAACGGGAGCTGGATGAAGCTTTGCTCACCTGCCGCTCAGCTCTTGTTATAGGTGGGGCCTCAGCTGCCCCAGGCCCACTGGCCTGCCAGCCCTAGAAGGTAAGGGGCTCACGACTAGGGACTGCTGCCACCATCACAGTTCACAGAGTGTTAATGGGCCTGTTTCCAAGTAACATTCACTCTTCTTGGCATACGACATACTCTTTTAGGTCTGGATACCTTTTATTTGTTGTTGCCTCTGGAATGTTCTTCTCCCTTGTCTGTTAAATTTTCTTGTGACTTTCAAGATCCAGTTTATTGATCTTCCCTGTGCTTCCAATGGCCTTCTAACAATGCCTTGTTTGTGTCTGTATGGCAAGCGCTCCACAGACTGTGGCTGAATGAGTGCAAGGCATACCTAGGAGCCAGGCTGACTCTCCTTGTCCCAATCAGGGACAGAAGATGGCAGTTAACAGGACACAAGCCTCAGGAGATGCGGAACTGCAGTGAGCAGCAGGTGGGGCTAGAGAGCCCATGACTGTAGGAGAGTTCCTTGTCCCCACTTCAGAGAATGGAGGAGGAATATAAAGGCAGCAAGGGGGGGCCTTAAGCTCCAGTGGTCACTTCATTGCCTATTTCCACTGAGACCCTCAAAATCCCCACACTCCACTCAACCAGGATGTCTCAGTGTCCCACGACCACGAGGCCATGCCTTGATACTTTCATAGTAAAGATTCAAGTAGATCCTAGAGCACAAGCCCCTACACTGCCAAGTGGAGCCAGCGCAAAAGGGTGAAGACATGCGGCAAGTCTTTTTAGACAGCCCTGGCCATGCAGCTCAGTTGCTCAGTCATCCCCATACACCAAGGTTGCAGTTTGATCTCCAGTCAGGGCACATACCGGAAGCAACCAATGAAATGCAAAAGTAAGTGGAACAAATCCGTTTTTCTTTCAGAGCAATAGGTTTTAACAAAAGAAAAAAATGTTCTTTTGGACAGCCAGTTCCCATAGTCATTAGCCAGCAGAATGGGCTGGGACTGGGAACACCCTGGACAGAGGGAGGCTGAGTTAGAAGACACTGACCTAGGAGACAGCAGCTCAGGTATACCCAAGGCACCTTGGGAAGTTCCCATCTTAAAAGACCCAGGTATTCCGGCCCCAGCTTCTTCCCTTAGCCCTCCCCCGCCCCCGCCCCCATAGTTTTTATCCTGGAAATCTTGCCAAGTGTGGGGAGAGCCCCAAATGAGGGAAGACAGGCATAAGCAAAGGTGGGCGAGCTGCAGTCCCAATGGGGCACTGAGGACTGGACAGCTGTTGAAGGGCCCTCCCCTTCCAGCCCCAGTGTGAGTGGTTACTCACACTGCTCCACACATTGTGCCTTTCACTCCTCACAGATGGACTGACCTTTTACTGGGGATGGCTCAAAAGCCACCAAGTAAAAATATTGAGGGTAAGTCCTAGTCGTCATTTTGGGGGAACATATTTGTTAGCTACCTTGGGGAAGGGGTCAACTGTTGGGAAAGTAAGTGGGCTGAGGGTCATCCCAGGTTGTATGAAGGTTAAGGAACCCACTCACCTTGCAGCTCTTTTCCTTTATCTTCCAAAGGTTTCCTAGAGGCGCTGAGAGGTGCCTGATGCAAGGCAACTGAGGGATGGTGTTTGCAAGGTTGTTTGCAATCAGCACCACCCTCACGGGAGCTTTGGGGGCTGCCAAAGGAGTTACCCTTACTACTAGCCATGACCACAGAAAAATGCTTTATGGTCCATTCTTAACAGCACACTTTAAATCCAGGTCAGGTTTGTTATGGCAGCATGATTAAGTCCTCTATCCCCATGTGGTCTTTTCAAGCTCTCCCTTCTACAGGACTAAACCACTTGCTGAACAGAGATTAAGTAGCCCAGGTCACACCTACAGGATTCAAGGAAACCACTTCCCTTCCCGGCATGCGATAAACACCATGTCTCAACAGCTCAGGGTACCAGGTAGCCCAATGGTGTAGTTTGGTTGGAGGTGGTTAAGGTTCTTTTCCCTTTAACAGTGCAGGGGAAAAGGGGGGCTAACCCCAGGGTCCAGGATATTGCCCAAGACCACCTTGCCTGAGCTTCCGATGGACCAAAAGGGTCAGTACATTACTCTGTGTGGTTACTCTTTCTGCAAGGCTTACTCAAAGGCGGACAGATTCTTTACATACCAAATCCACAATACCTGCTCCTCAAAATTTCAGCACAACTATGAGGGACTCTGCTCTACAAGGGGTTTATCAAGATAGTTACAGTAGCCATAGCATTTCAAAGAGCACAACAAATAAGAGAAAGTCCTGGCCAGATCTGAGAGAACAATTTCTTGTTATAATAAACCAGAAATACAAGATTCCACCGAAACTGGGACATTTGACAGGATATGGTTAACTTACAAACCTTCAAGAAAAGAGGGTCAAACAAAGCCAATGTATGGAAAATCCTAAGATTGGTTTGGGATAAACCTAAGAATTACATTCAGAATGGGTATCTTCTGAACCCTCTCCAGCAGGTACCTGCCGTATTTCTCCCACTCCTTCTGAAGTATCTGCTTAACTGAATGGCTTTTTCCTCTATTTCAGGAATAAGCCAACCCAACAGGGCCCCTTTGGATATGACGCAAAGCCAAGGTTTATAAACCGTATTCCAGGGTAGAAATTATGCACACACCCACACCAGCACACATTATGTGGTGTCAGTGCACATGGCGGCAACTTCAATCACCGCTGCTCCCATGTATATAACCTGTTATGTGGCCCTGTAGCTAGGTCAATGTTCCCAAATTACTACACTAAAAATTATCAATGTGGCAGAGTGCATTTTTGAACTCCAGATTTTCTCAACACTTCTAAGAGTCTATTAGAGTGATATAGAACTGTATCTCAAAAACCTAGGTGTTAGGGAAGAACACTGATGGGTTATTGCTGGGACTTTTTCCAGAGGGTATACAGGTGAACAGAGGAAATGTTAGAATGTGAGGGCATATAAAACAGGTGAGGGGAAGGCAGGGGTGGTAAGAGGGCCAACATGTTCATGTTCATGTTCAAAGAGAAGTCTGGGAGGAGGGGAAAAAAACCCCCAAATAAACCTAAAACAATAAAACAAAACCGAACCCAAGTCAGAGGAAAAAAGGGTTTCATACAATGTAGTATCAAAAAAGTAAAAGGAACACACTAAATGCACAAACTGGTGGCAAGTTAAGTCCATAGTCTATTGTGATAGGTCCTTCCGGCATCAATCAGGTAGGTTTCTTTTCATCTGTTATCTCAAGGTTATTTACAGACGTGGTAATTTTAACAAGAGTCTCTCACAGGAGGGCAGGCAGGCTTCAATCATTGGTTTCTGGATCTGTCTGTGCCATGTAGGCATCCAACTCAGCATCCAGGTGTCCTTTTGTTTTCGACATGTATGCATCCAGTTGGTTGTCCAGCTGCTCCTTGGTCAGTACAGGGCGAGAAAGGGCACCTCTCCCTCGTCCACGGCCTCGGCCTCTGCCTCCAAAGCCCCCTCTTCCCCGACCTATCATACCCCGACCTGGCCCAAAGGAAAAAAAGACAGTTACAAGTAGGTTTAACGGGTGCTATAGTAAATGCCCCTTAGAGCAGAGGGGCCTAGATGAGATGCTGAAGGGCAGGGCAAAGAGGAAAAATCTGGAAAAACAGTAAACACACTGGGCAGCAAGCAACACATGGAAAGCACACATAATGAATCCCTTATTATATGCTCATCTCTAAATGCTACTTAAAAATTTTTATTCTATCAACAAAGGAAAATTGATAATTTAAAAAAATCTTAATGTTTTCGAAAACAAATGATCTAAAGTTTGAGACCCACTACAAGTTCCTAATTAAAATACATTACAAATATACCCATTCAGTAAGATAGGAAGTAATAAGGGCACAGAGCAACAGGGGTATGAGGCCAGACAGTTTTCAAACCTAAAGACCTGATGTGCTGACCCCATGTCAGAAGACTGAGGAGTTATTTTTGCAAAAGAACAATGTGGGGAGATGGGAAAAAACATCTCGAGCAGTCCCAGCATCTTTTATCTCCTATCCTAGAAACTTATAACGTAACAACCATGGTTATCTGAGAGGTGGTTTCAATTCACTTAGCAAAATATACCCAGCTAAGACTTTAGACTCCCCCACCCATGTTGTTGCTCAGAAACCATGTCAAGATAATTTGGAAACATGCCATTTCATCCTGAAACCCAAACTAGCTTGCACTTCACTCAATAAGCCAAGCAACATACAATGGGAAAGAAAACAAGCCCTCAGTTATCAAATTTCCTTTCCTAAGTTATTACCCCTTGGCAACTGCAAGGTAATAAATTATGGAATACACATTACTTTAAAAGGACCAAAGCAAACATACACAGGGGCTAAGAGAACAAAAATTTTCTTTTTTTTGGACAGGTGCTGTTGGGAGTTTTCCACTAAACTCTAAGCCAGAAAACTCCTATGAGATTTGGCATTTTAACAGCAACACTATTAAACTCCTCCAATCTGGGTCATGAGGTCACTAAAGAATTATCACTAAGTCTCCAAGGTAAGATTATCAACATGATGGGTGGGGGAAGGGTATGAGAACTAAAAGGTAATTAAAAAAAAAAGAGATGATTCAAGGTCATTAAAAAGTTAATTAAATCTAATCCTAAACTCAAAAAAAGGAAAAAAAAAAGAAAAAAAAGGGATTATGAACACAAGAGTCAGTTAACTGACATACTACATTTTGCACCCTCATGTATAATGTGTACCCACGGCTCGGTGCACATTGCGCAGGGGATTATTATACCCACGTATAATGCACATCCTTATTTTCCCCTCAAAAATTTTGGTGAGGGGGGGAGGTGTGTATTATACATGGCAAAATACAGCAACATCATCTTGCTTTCTATTTCTACCTTGATCAAAGAAGTCATCTCTGCCCTGACAAGAGTGGCTCAGTTGGCTGAGCATCGTCCCTGCAAAGCAAAAGGTCGCCAGTTCAATTCCCAGTGAGGGCAGGTGCCTGGGTTGTGGGCTGGTCCCTGATTGAGGTGTGTGTGTGAGGCAACCAACTGATATTTTTCTCCCTCCCTTCTCCTCTAAAAATAAATAAATAAAATCTTAAAAAAAAAAAAAAAAAAAAGGCACCTGTGGTTTCCTACAGACACAAACTTTCCCTTGGATTTACTTGGTTTCCAAATCAATATCCAACTCCAAGTCTCACTATCTTTACCTCTGCTGAATTTTTGTACATCTTCCTATTCTGGATTCTTAAGACTTAAAAGTGGGGTTCTGAGTTACGGGGTGGGTTGTGTGTGCTGGTGGGGCAGGGTAAGGTAAAACCCCAAACTGACCGCTTTAGTTATTTTAACAATACAACTTAAATTTATAAGAGTCTGGGAGGAGACTGCATATAATCTGGCTCTGTACTTGACTAGTTCTTGGAAAACCCATGACAGACTTTTTGCACTACTACCACGTGAATTCAGAAAATAAGCCAGTTTCAAAAAAACAAAACAAGACAAACAAATAAGCCTGTCTATGACTTAAAGCTGTGCAGAAAGGTGGCTCTGAGTTTTGAAGGGAGAGAAATAAGAGGGAGCTACTCTCTGAAGTTGGTAGCTGACTAACCTCTACCACCGATTCCGCCACGACCCATAGCTCCACGCCCTAGGCCCCCTCTCCCAGGACCTCCACGACCTCGAACACCACCTCTTCTTAAGCCCATTCGGGGAGCTACGGCTCGTCCACCTCGGAGCAGGTTTTGACCTTGGAGAGGAGGCATACAATGTATATGCAGGTAAGTCCAAGAGAGACAAAGTAGATTCTAACCAAAGGAAGGTGGTGAGGGTTAGATGAGTTAATTCAGGTAATTTTTAGGTTGGGTGGGGCAAGCTGCATACTAAGTGTGAATATATTAAGATGCTCTTTATTCAATCAATTGAACAAGTCTGACCAAAAATCCAATTTTGGAAGCTGGGAGGAGTTAAAGTAATCAGTAAGTACATATATTTAATAAGTATCTGTTGAATAATCAGACAGGAGTCTAACATTACAATAGATTTACCAATAAGTGATATGGTTCCTGCTCTCAATATACTCTTGTAGGGGGCAATAGCTATACAGGGAACCGTAAAACAGTGCCCCAAATATAATACATAGCTTAGTGCTATGGGTCAACTTGTCTTCTCTTTTTTATACATGTAAGTATTTTGCTAGCACGAGGAAAAGAGATGACTGGTTAAGACACAGGCCAACAGACCCATACATTTCTTAGACTTGACTCATTTCTAGAACTTGAATGTGCTTTGATTTAAGCAGCAGCAGGGTGTTTTAAAATGGAATGGAGATGACATGGACTACCAGTTGTTATGCAGGTCATAGTCTTTCACCACACTGCACATTATCAGAAAAAGAATGGTATTGGTAAAAAGACATGCAGCACTACTACAAATATGTAATTTCAAGTTATTAATTATGTTAATACAAATTCAGGCTTAAAGATGTTAAACAAATGTGTCCATAAACAGCCCAAGAGAAAAGGAAAGGGAGTGGGACCCAACAATTATTAGGTACACAGCACTGACCTCGGAGCGACATCCCGCCCCTAAGTAGGGTTCTCGTGGCACGTCCCCCACGCAGTCCTCCTCTGGGCAGGCCTCTTTGGATAATGGGCAGGCCTCGTCCTCCGATTGCTCCCCTGGCCAGGGCCCCTATGGGTCGGCCTAACCGTGCCTGGATGTTACTCTTACCCAGGCGCTGCTTTAAGCTCTTCTGGAAGAAAAGGTGTTGGGGGATTGAGATCAAAAAAAGCAATCCAGTGGAAATTTGATAACTCAAAGTGCAGAGAAAAAGAAGCCAGTGAGATGTCTGTGTGGAGGCATTTAAACCTGCTGTGGGTATCATAAGGATGCTAAACCAGAAGCAAGCCTTCGCCTGAAAACATGGTATAAAAGAATTCTGATCCAGTGCTTCTAAGAAGCTTGAGTATGGTCCCATGAAATTGGCATCACCACAAATTATCTCGCCAGTTTGGCTAAGTCATATACCACTACCTGAAACTTTTAAGTTTTAATAAGAATCCTGCTTCTGCTGTTTTTGAACCATGGGTTAACAATGTATGACTTGGTTCATACCTGCCTAAAAACCACCACTCTCTTCAAAGGTTTACTCAAACCCCATAGGAAATTCATCACACTCTGGGCAAAACTTAAAATGTTCATCTGACTTCTTGTGACTTAAGAACATCATCTCATTTCTCAAAGAGGGTTTCCATTTTTTTCTGAGTATGTATCTCCAGACGGTCCACTTTTTACCATAGGATGTAAACACAAAAAGGTCAAATCTCCTTTTCTTACATTTCTTAAATAGTCGTAATTCCATCTCTACCCTTGCAAACAGCTCCATTAAGCCAGTATAATGACTTTAATTAAAAATAAACATAAACTCATACATACACAGAGAGCCAAATTTTCCATTAGCATAAAAAGAGGTTATAACCACAAAACTCAGGACCACACTGGAGGACAAGGACATATCAAAGATGAAGATTTTCCAATACTCTGTCCCTAAAAGAAAAACCATGAAGACCACATTCCAAATAATTAAATTCCTTCAAAGAAAAAGGTGACTGTGTAGCCTTGAACACAACCAAGGCCTTAACAAACCTGTTTTCCTATAAATCCATCAGTCAGTATAAATGAAAATAAATTCTATGCATCCTCAGACTTTACCCATAAGCAACTACCAATGATTTCTTATGCAACCTTATGTTCTAAGTTATTATTAGATTTCTAGCACAAGACAATAAACTGTTTCTAATCAGAGGGGCAGGCTCTGAACACTGTGCGCTTAGTGTGAGCACGTGTAACCAATCGTAAAAGCCCATCACCTCACTCCCCTGACAGCATACTTCATTCCACGTCATTTGTGTTCCGTCATCCTGGGAATACTGTTCCAAGCCCCGTGCTTTAAGAGAATATACAGCACTTAGAGGTTCTCCCTTCCCAAGCCTCACCTGCCACCAATACTAGTCTCTAACATTGACAAGAAGCTTAAGGATGTTCACTAGTATCATCCAGTTTCTACTCTAGAGCTGTGCTGTGTGCTAAGATAGCCACTAGCCACATGTGACTATTTAAATCACAATTAAAAAAAAAAAATTCAGGCTCAACTGCACTAGCCACATTTTGAGTGCTCAGAAGTCACATGTGGACTAGCAGCTACCATACTGGAGAGCACAAATATAGAACATTCCTACCACTACAGAAAGTTCTATTGGACAGCACTGCTCTGGAGGCTATTTCTGCATTTAAAGCTTCTTAAAAGATCCCTTAGAATGATCAGAGACATATCTTCAGCAATTTTTGCATTTATTCTTGGAAAATGGTGGTGCCTTTTACTGCCTTCCTGAGTCAGGGAAGAATGCAGTCACTCCAAGGCTTATTATGGTAGCTGAAGCAGAAGGTCTTGTTTATTTTTGGTCAGTGAGCCCAACGGTTCTGGGTGAGGGTTATATTTAACTGCTGAGTTTATGCACAGCCATGCAGTGCTGCCAGTTAAAGTCCTTACAGTTGCATGGCACCGCCCTCCAGACGCCCAGCCACAGCTTGGACATATCCTTCCACAGCCACTGTCCGGACTTGCATATAAAGTCTATGAATAATAGAGAGCAGGTTTTATTTCAGGTCTGAATAGGATTATCTCTTACTGAAAATTTGAAAGAGAACCCATTAACTTTTAAATTAATTAGTCAGCTTGCTCCACTGTACTGACAAAACTTTAGGTGCTGTGGAAATGAGGATCACCTTACATTTTCTACATTTTAGCACTAAAAGCCACTGACTAAGGCCATTCAGACTCCCTAGACTAGGGGAGAAATAATAAAATTATTTCCCTGATTTGTAAATCATTTAACAAGGAATAAAGGATTTTTTTCTAAAGTCATCTAAAACAGAAACCAAAATTTTTTTGTGGATAAAGCCAGTGAATTTACTTTAAGGGTAAAGGATCAGAAAATAGAGATTAACATTCACTGATAACAAAGAAACAGGCCACATTGATGGCAAGCTCCCTAGAAGAGAAAGACAACAAAGAGTCACTCACTGGTACCTGCCAAAATGGGAATTTTCTGAAACTTCTCTTTCTTTCAGAGAACTTTCAGCTTTTGCTCTAAGCCACCTCTTATCACTCCTGACAGCCTTAGTGGACTGCCTGACAGAGATCACCAGCTGCTTCTGGAACGTTAAGACCCATTCTCTCACCTGCTTAATTTTTAATGCTGCCTGGACAGAGGGTCTATTCTCCATCTGCTGGGCCAGTCTTCTGTTTCTGGCACTGGCTAGCTGCTGTTGTTGCTGCATCGAAGCCCGAATATTCACTGGCATCGGCTGTTTGTTCTTCAGCATATTAGTAAAGCTTCAAGGTCGAACAAAATGGATGTTTAAATAAAAGCTTTATTATAAAACATTTATTGGCATTTTCATGGCTTGCTAGACCAGGAACTCCAGATCCCACGAACTTTTAAGTAAAGTGGTACACTTAAGATCAAGGTTGATGTGGGTGAAAGACTCCTCTGCTTCCACAAACTTGCAAGAATCAGAAACTCAGAAATGCAGCTAAGTGCAGCACATTCAATCAAAAGTGATAACAAGGGCTCAAGTAACAGCTTTTAGAGAGGCAGAAAGTATGAAAAACACGCAATAAGCAGATATGATGACAACACGAGACAGGAGATGCAGTTTCAAAGACAAACGAAGAAAGCCAAAACCTTGGGGGAACTGAGGGTGCATTTTAAGGGCAAAAGTAAGGAAGGACTAAAGCATCTTCAAAACTTAAAGCCTTGGCCGGTGTGGCTCAGTGGATTGAGTGCCAGCCTACGAACCAAAGGGTCATGAGTTCTATTCTCAGTCAGAGCACATGCCTGGGTTGCAGGCCAGGTCCCCAGTGGGGGGTGCAAGTGAAGCAACCACACACTGATGTCTCTCTCCCTTTCTCCCTCCCTTCCCCTCTAAAAAAAAAAAAATCTTTAAAAAAAATTATGAAAAGAATGCACCCATGTAAGACAGGAGTGCATCACATTTTCTTATGTATTTGTTTGCTTAGTTATGTGAATATGAAGAATTAGTGTATCATACCCTAAGAGAAAAGGAGCACATATGCTCCAGAAAAGGTAAAAATATATAGTGGTCAAATATTTACTTACTAAAATCACTGGTCAAAGGCACTCAATAAACTCCCATCAACAGAAACTGCCTTTAAATACCTTTGCTTTTCTTAGTCTCAAATGATTACTTTTTCTGACTTCAACTGATCACTTCTGAAAAGATTAGTTCAACTATTTAAAGCTGGTGAAGACACTCTTCTAGCCCTGGCCAGGCAGCTCAGTTGGTTGGAGTGTCATCCAGATGAGCCAAGGTTGCAGGTTAAATCCCGGGTCAGAGCACGTAACAGGAATCAACTAATGAATGCACAGATAAGTGGAACGACAGATCAATGTTCCTCTCAGAGAAAACAAAAAAGGTAAGTTCAATAGAATGGAAGAGAAGAACACTTAACTGTAAGAGAATCCAAAACAAAAACAAACTAAAAGCAGAATGAAAAGAAAGTGAAATGGAGCAAAAGCAAGTGCCTCTTACAAGGCCCAAGAATGGCATTCAAGGGCCTTTGGACATATTTAAAGCTTGCTACCTGCCTCTTACAGGCCAGACGCAACACTGCTGGCCTTGGACGAGGCAGCAAGCCGACTGCAGCCAGGGTACTGTGCTACCGAGCTGCACCATCCCTGTATCAATGTTAAAAAACTGTGAAGAAAAGGGAGGGTGTGAGGAGTCTTTTTAAAATACATCCCACCAGATAAATATTTCAGACAGCTTAACATAAAAATCTACTGATAAGGGGTTTTCAAACAACCGCCCAATTTGCTCTGTGTACCACATAAATAAGATGCAACTATGAACAGAGGTCTGTAGCCTTCTGTTGGTATTTAGTTTAAAAGTGGTTTTTGTGCATTGGACCCCAGGGCCAATTTAAGTAATGTTTTCTTATCAATGAGCTGAAGTTGCTGTTGGCTGCCTCACCGCTCATTTAGAGACATCTTGGTGGTGCTTTTTAGCACAACTTTCGGCGCTGACTGTGCAGCCATCTTCAAATCCCGAGGATCTACAAAGGACAACAGGCAGAATGAGCAAATCAGAATGACGACGACCTTATTTCTGCAAGGTCCAAACTCGTAGAAGGCCTGTTTCGAAGACTGCTTAAGAGTACACTAAAACTCATTTCAGGTTTTTACACGTGTAAGATAGTTCCGTCAAACTGATACGCTTCAAGGCCACCGGACAGAAAATAATCTGCCAAAGCCCCCAAAATGGCAGGCCTAGACCTAGCTAAAGGAAGCGCCGAAGGGTCTGCTGCTTTTCCATCTAGCACAGTCCTTCTCCACAACCTTGGCTGCAAGCAGCTTTTTAAAAGGTGCAGAAGCGGCCCTGACCGGTGTGGCTCAGTTGGCTGAGCGTCTTCCCACAAAGCGACAAGGTCGATACCCAGTCAGGGCTGCAGGTTGGGTCCCTGGGGCCGAAATCGAGAACCATTCACCTAGAGAGATGACACAGGCATACCGAGTTTCAAAACTGACATTCGACTCCAAATCAAGGAGGGGGCTGGGGGCCTGGGGGTGGGGGCAGACAAGGTTTCCTAATGGGGCATTCACCTGCGAGTTTTATCAAACAGCGCTCTACAAAATTTAACTCTAAAGCCCCCATTACTTTCGAACGATCCCCAAAGTCCCGTAATCCTCATTTCATCTCTCTACCACTTCACGGCCCTGGCACCACCGCCAACTTTGCTCAATCTGCCTACTTTCCTTTCTATCCATTTCAAATCCCAACATTCTCCAGCAAACCCGCCACCAGTTTCCAACTCAGGACCGCCCCCGTCTCCCTCCTCGGGGCCCCGCCCCTTCTCCGGGGCCTCCACACTCCAGCATCGTATCAGCTTCCACAGGCCACCACCGTCCGGTCCGCGCCAAGACTTTCCTTCTCACCACAGAAACTTACCGAAGGAAAAGGACGCCAGTGCTCCTCCCGGGGCTGCCACGACGGCTGCGGAAGGCGGGCCGGAAGCCGGCCGAAGCTCAGTTGATGGTGGAGGGACTCGGGTTAACTTGTTTGGCGGTTGGCTAGATGCGTGAGCGGTGGACTGCTAGGTTAGTTCGTTCTTGTTGGCTGGCTGTCTGGTCAGTCGGTCCACCTGCTCGCCTGGCCTGCCCTTTGCCTGTCTTTCGCCTCTATCACCACAGCCAGTGCCGCCAACTCCCGCTCGGTGTCCAAACAAAATGGCCGCCACGCCCAGTGCGGAGTGGGACCGGCTAAAATGGCGTCGGCGCAATTACGTCACACGTCGGACCCGCGCACAACTAGGGGGCGGGAAGGTCTGTGCTACGCCTGCGCAGGAATCTCGGAGCCCTAGGAAGAAGGCGGACCTTTAACAAAGTCCGGGTCTGAATGCTTGCAGGTCACGGAGGGGCGTGGCCAAGGCCTCGCGGTGGGTCTGGGAGAGGGTTCCTGCTCCCGGCCGGGTTGTTGGTAAACCGGACGGCTCGGAGCGGGATTGGTCTCCGTGAAAACCATATTCGTATTTCCTCGCACGCCTGCTCGCCACCCAGGCTGCCCAGGAATTCTAGAATTTGGCAGACTGTCTAGAATTCTTTTTTTGGTAGGGAATAAAGTTTTTATTAACTCTCCAAGAAAGGAGAGGAGCATGGTGTGGAGAGATACACCAGCCGGTCTAAATTCTTTACGTGGGACTTGGGATCGTCGGTGTCTCCTCCGGACCACCAGGACTGGGTAATTTGCATTGGCTCTCCTTTCGTTCGCTCTCGTTCCGAGTTGTGGAATGCTGTGAGTGCGCCAGCCAAGGCCTGTGGGGGCCGGCATTGGCGGCGCACCTCTCCTGGAGTCTGCTCCAGTCACCACTCCCCGTCCCTGTTTTCCTCTTCACTTTGTCCCACCACCCCCACTTGGCTTGAACATTGTTAAATTCTTATTTGGGTAGGATCCCTACGTGCCATCCACGTGGATTTTGATACAGACGGGCATTTTCTACAGCCTGGGTACACAAAATGCTCAAATGTTTGATGAATGAGTGAATGAACACATCTTCGACCTTCCTACTCCCCGCCGCCCCCCCCACCCCCAAATAAATGCCCGTCAGGTTCCTTTCGTTTTCCTTCCTAGCGTTTCTGTGTGAGTGTTTAGTGGTCTGGCCTCCTTACTGAGTTTATCTGCATGCGGGTAAGAGTCCTGTTTGTTTTGTTCTCTGCTGTATCCCCAGTTCCTGCACAATGTCTAGCACATGGAAAACCCTCTAAATATTCTTTGAAGGTTGAAAGGAAATTCTTTTTTTGGCTTTATAGCCGAGAAGCTAAGGTCTCAACCACTTCCAGCTGGAACTTTGAACCCCGACCTTCCTGGGCCTTGAGCATTCCTCAGATAGGAAGGTGTAATGGTCTCTTGACCTCTTTTCAAATACTATCCTGCCCCACATAAGGTAAGTTGGGAGTGAGTCACCTTTGCTTCCCCACCCACTTCCAGGGTCCAAAGGAGACACAGCAGCTGGCGAGAGAAGAGCCTTTAATGAAAGATGAGTTGCAGGCCTGGCCCACTACTCTTGCGCCCTTGTTGGAGGGTGGGCAAAGGTGGGGCTGTGGGGAGGGAAAAGGGGGGTGAAAGGAAAGCAGGGTGTAGAGGCAGGTATGGCAGTGCAGAGGGGAAGGGCGCTGCCCACTGGGGCTGTCTGCTCAACTGTTCTCCCAGAAGAAGTTGTTACAGGCCACTGTGAGGGCAGCCACCAGCACCACATACTCCTGGAAGTCCACCTCCCCATCTCCATTCTCGTCGAGCTCCTTCATCACCTTGTCCACAGCATCCGCATCCTTCTGGGCCTGTGAAGTGAGGAGATGGAGAGGTAGTGGTATAGAGACGTATAGCACTAAGTCAGAGGCAAGGGGGATGGTTGGTTGGGGAGAGGGAGGCATAGATAAGCAAGGAGAACTACATTTAATGGCACTCTTTCTAATGGGACTCTTCTGCTGCCTCCCTCCAAACTAACATTTGTGGCCTCCTGTTGCCTACAGAATAAACTCAACAAGGCAGAGTAATAATAACATCAGTTACTACATGTCGAGTGCCTGCAAGGGGATAAACACTATACCAAGAGTTTACAAACTTTGTTTAATTGTAACAAACAGTATGAAGTAGATTTCATTATTCTCATTCTAAAAAAGAAACAAATGGACAGTTGGTGTTTGAATGTGCCTAAAGTCACATAGCTAGAAAGTAGCAGTGCCAGAATTTGAACCCAGGTTTAATAAAACCTCAAAGCTGATACATTGTACTTTTTTAGCCTATTTTTCTACATCCTTCACTCCAGTTAAAACTACTGAGCATGCTGCATATTCTTTCTGCCATGCTTTTATTCACGCATATACCTTCTGAAATATCTATGTTTATCCTAATAATATTCCACTGGAAATCTATGGCTCAACTGCCATCTCTTTGGAGAAGCTGTCTGACTTCTGCCAGGTTAATAGTCTCCCATACTCTTTTCTGCCACCTCTGTTAAGGCTCTGTGTGCTTCCTGGTGTTCAGGAACACCTGGGTTTGCATTCAAATGTCAGTCTTTTCCTTCTAGACTGAGCGCTTTTACTGATGCATGTAAACAGGGCCTGGCACTTAACAGGTGATTAATAAATCAGGGCATTTTGACTTGAACCAAGAGAGTTGAGAAGATGGATGAGCTGTGCTGGGAGGGGGTGGGGAGATGGCAGGGAGATGCCCACTCTGTTCCCCCACCCCTCACCCGTTCCACCCTGTACCCCCGCCCTGGCCCTGTGCTCACGTCCAGGAAGCCGGAGAGCTCGGTCTGCAGCAGCTCTTTCAGCTCCTTCTTGCTCAGCTTGTACTTGTCCCCCTCCTTGCCCGAGTGGGCATGGAACACATTGATGAGAGTTTCCATCGCCGTCTCCAGCTCAGAACCCATTGCGCAGCTTACCTACCCACCCCCCACCATGGAAGTGAGCTGGGAGCTGTGCTCGTGATACCTGGGGTCAGGGTGAGGGGAGCCCTCAGACCTGGCCCTGGTCCCACAGCCCAAATGCCATGAGATCAGAGCCCCATCACAATTTACCTTTCACTGGAATTTTATGATGTAGGAGAACCAAAATAGATCTAAGTCCACAGCTGTTCTTTGTGTCCCTCAATCCATATTCCAGCCAGAGGGAGCTGCGGTTTAGAGCATGGAGGTAGGGCAACTGGAGCAGGGCTGGCTCTAGAGGCCTGCAGGGGACTTTGCAATGTCTCCTGGCTGCCTGGGCAGACACTAAGGAGGGTGTGGGCGGCAGGCAGGGAGGCAGGGGTGGCCACAGGACCCAGCCAAGCTTGCTTTGGCTCTATTTTTACCCTGGACGTTGCTTGCCAAGCATAGCCAAGCTCTGCTGTTGGGGGTGCTGGGCTGGGCTCCTCTCTATAGACTCTGCTGCCCACCCTTGGCAAGGAGTCAGTCTGGTGCACTCAAACACCTGATGGAGAAGGTGCCAGCCTGAGTGGGAGGCCCAGGGGTCATGGGGGGAGAGTCTCATTGCCTCTGAGCTTCCTGTCAGTGGACTGGGGGCCACTTTTGGTCCTTCAACTCTGTTCTGTCCTGAACGTGGCATGCTGGCTCCCCAGGGTATCCCTCCATTACCTCTAGTTTGGTTCCTCTTACTCCTCTGCAGAATCAGCCCTTCTGTTGGGTGATGGTGGGAAGGGAGAGAGGAATGTCTGATTTCGCTGGAACCAGAGCGTCCAGGAAAGAGGAGAGGAGACTTTTGTCTCCTGCTGCTGGCCCTCCTATCCCAAGGCCCAGCCTGGTAGATGTGGGGACAGTGGCAGCAGGGAGGAGGGGCTGGTATGTATCAGGGGCAATAAAGGGCTGAGTTCAAGGGGTTGGGGGAGAGGGGGAGAAAATGGAGGGGTCTGTTGAGGAGAGGAAACTGCCTAGCCAGGGGGTTCTTTTCCTTGGTCCTGGGACAGTCAGCCCCTCCACAGCCTCAGGGGGCAGCTCAGGTATCTCAGATCAGGTGTCCCCATCCTGTCTCAGGCCTGAGGGGCTGGACAATGGGCCCTGATCGAATGACACCCTAGCTCTTCAATGGGGCCCTTGTGAGTGTCACCTGAACTCCGGACATGAGAAGTGGTTGTCACAGAGACGGGGGAGATGGAACCTAAGCCTGGCTGATGGAGGGGATAAGGGGCATGTGGGGGGGGGGTGCTGGTGGCTCAGTTACTGGCCTCGTCCAGGAGGGGCACCTCAGGGTGGCCTGGAGCTCTTGAGCAGCCAGGTATATTATGTAGGAGCAGTTCTGAGAGGATCTTGGCAGGGAGGAGGAAGAGGGGAAAACAGAAAAGAATTGGGGGGAAGAGGAATCTGGAGGTCTTGGCCAAGAAAGCAGAGGAGGAGACAGGGGAGGTTATATGAAGTGAGATTTGGGAGTGGGCATGGTACCCTATTGCCCCCCTTCCTGAAATCCCATGGTCCCTGCTCAGCCACCCCCAGGCTTCCCTGGGCCCTGAGACCTTGGCAAGGCTGGGTGGGGTGGCCGAGGCTGAGACTGCAGGGGGTAGGCAGAAACCGCTGTTCCATCTGCTCCCTCATTCTTACCTCACTGGAAGTGAGCCAAGGGTTGGGTGCCATCCCCAGCACCTGGGAGACTGAGGAAGCTTGGGAGGGCACTTGAGGGCTCCCTGCTAGGAGGGCCTGGTCTTTTGGAAGCTCAGTGGCTGGGTTCTCCACTGGCTTCCTCGCTCACCTCGTTCCCAGATACCCCTCTGACCTTCATTTGCCTCCCCTCATGACCCTCCAAATCCCATCTCCCTCAAATCCCGAACTGCCATCATCCAAACTCTTCCCAGACCCTCACCTCAGTGCACCACAATGCCATTGTCCCCAAACTCTTGGACCCCCACTGAAGTCCCCTTTCCCCCAAGCTGGCCAGGGCTGGGTGGGGCAGGATACTCACTGTAGCCTGGGCCTGAGGTGGGAGCAGGTTCTGGACAGACAGACAAAGCTGAAATGTGGCTACGGGAGCTGTGTCGGGAGACCTGTCTTCCGTCCTCCTTCCCCCACTGACCCCACCTCTCTACCAGCTCCACCCCTTCACAGACAGACACCCAGTGGGGCAAGGGGCCAGGAGTGGACAGAGGCGCCCTCTGTGCTGGAACAAGCTGCCCTGTGTCTTCTTCTTCAGTCTTCGTTGTGTCTCCCCCACTGCTGGGCCCCAGCAGGCAGGGCCCGGGAGGAAGGGAGGTGGGAAGGGTCCTGGGAAGGACACTGAGAGCCCCTCACACCCCACATACCCAGCTACCACCCGCTACGCAGGGAAGGGGCGGGGCCCATGGAGGGGGTCTCAGTGAGGGGACCCTTGAGTAATTAGTTTTGGAAGTCTCCCTCAGAGGTTTCAGTATGAGACCCCCCCCCTGAGGGATTTCAATCTGGGGTCTCCTCTGTGTGGTCTCAGTCTGATTCCCCTGTTTGTCGGGTCTCCGGGTCTCCATCTGGAATCCCCTGAGGGGATGATCTTGGGCTGCAGGGTGCTTTGTGGAACCTCATTGTAAAATGGGTGTTTCTTAGATTGGGCCTCTCAGTGCTGAGCTCCCTCTGTTGGTTCTTTCAATCTGCAGCGTCCAGGCCCCCCCCCCCCCCCCCCCCCCCCCGGCTCCGCTCTGGGCGTCTCCTCTCTTCAGAATCTACCAGGAAACCTGACACTTCTGGGCTTGGGAGCCCGGTGCCTCCCAGCTTGGCGGCTTATAAACCTCAGCCCCGCACGCTTCACTCCAGCTCTGTGACTTGCCTTGGTGAGTCCCCCAACTCTGGAGGGAGCCTGGGGAGCCTTTTTCTTTTCTTAAAAAAGATTTATTTTTAGAGAGAAGGGAAGGGAGGGAGAAACATCAGTCATCTGCCTCTTGCACCCCAACCGGGAACAGCCCAGGCATGTGTCTGACCAGGAATCGAACTAGTGACCCTTTGCTCTGCAAGACAACGCTCAACCAACTGAGCCATGCAGGTCAGGGTATGGGGAGCCTTTTTCCTCCTTGGGATCCCAGGTCCCTCCCTTGGAGCCTGCTCAGACTGGGAAGTGGCTTGGGGAAATCATGCCACAGTCCCCATGGAGGAGAAGAGAGGGATGGCTGAAAAGGGAGGATTAGTGGGCACGTCCCCTTCCTCCAGCCCTTCCCCTGTCCCGGGGCTGTGAGTGCCTGGAAGGAGCCCTTCCTGGGATGCGGCGGTTGGAGAGCCCATCCAGGACCCCTGATACCCGGAAACGGGCGGGAGGTCTGGTGAGTCCCGTGCTCTTCCTGGCTGTCCCCGTGTGGAGGCAGGGAGGGGCCATGGGGGGCGGGTCTGGCCTCACGGAGTCGGCCCTGACCACAGCTGGGCTTTTGCCAGACCAGGGCTGCTCTGCTGGGAGGAGCAGGCGGAGTGCCTGGGGCGAGGACCCAGGTCCCCACACACACAAACAAGCTTTGGAGACAAACAGCCTTTTGACTCTTTGAGGCTGGGTGAGATTCCAAGAAAGGGCCCTTGGGACTGAACCCCACTGAGGGGCCAGGAGGCAGAGGGCTCCAAAGACAGCCCTCACACTGACAGCCTATCCTGGAGAGAGGGGTCTTCAGGCTGAGGGACCACCACAGAGGGGTCCTTAAGACGCAGGCACTTCAAAAGGACCCCCAGGTTGAGATCTAGAGAGGAAGGGGGCTGGGAATGAATACCGAATACTGCTTCTCCCACGACACTGAGGTTCTGCCCTGTCCCAAGCTCCATCCCTGGCCCCTCCCTCCTTCCCCACAGTGCCTCCTCCAGGCAGAGGCCTGGACGGCAACCCAGGGCAGGGGCTCTCTGCTCTATCCTGACTCTCCCTTTCTCTCCTTACCCTTCAGTGGCAGGTCAGCCCCTTGAGGTGATCAGCTGCAGTCCAGGGGCCTAATGGCAGCAGAGTCGCTGACTGAACTGGAGGCGGCCATCGAGACAGTGGTCACCACCTTCTTCACCTTTGCAGGGCAAGAGGGCCGGAAGGGCAGCCTCAGCATCAACGAGTTTAAGGACCTGGCCACTCAGCAGTTGCCTCACCTGCTCAAGGTAGGTGTGGGTCTCTGGGCCTGAGATTTCAGGAGACAGTGGCTGTGGGACACTGTGTGAGACGTGATGTGGCTGGGCACGATAGTGCGACCACAGGTGTGCTGTGGGGAAGGGGGTAGGTGACTTCTTACCCAAGTGGTGCTGGGTGTTCTTGCCTGATGTGTGTAGGTGTATCTAGGTAACGCTGTGCCTGAGGGCAAGAGTGTTATTGGGCTTTGTGCTGCCATCGGAAGATGCTGTTAGGTTCTTGTGCCTGCTCTCTGCCTCTGGTCTCATTTCCCTAACACAAGACTGGACCAGAACTGCTTCCAGGAGGTTCGTAAACCATCAGAGCTGGGTGGGCAAGAGAAAACACGGTGTATATTCCTCACTAACAATTATGGAAACTGAGGCCCAGCTATGGAAAGACGTTTGTCAAACACACACACACAAACCCTACAGCCCAATGCATGTAACCATAGAATCTCAGTGACCCATGGTTACTTCCCACCCTCTCTGGGAATACCCTCAATAATGCGCCTGACAAGGCCATTCTTTTTCTCCTCCCTGGATCGAGTAGGGATTTAAATTTCACCCATTCTGGTTTGGTACATCATCTGAGGCTGCTAACAGCTTGTTTTACTTTTTTTTCTGAAAATTCGCAGGCACATAAAAGTGTGTGAAGATGGATTAAAAAAACAAAACAAAACAGCCTTAACTAGCATGCTCAGTTGGTCCAGTGTCATCCCGCAAAGTGGAAGTAGCAGGTGCCCTTTTAGGGCACGTGCCCTGGGTTGTGGTCCCGTCCCTGGTCAGGATGCTTTACGAGAGGCAACTGATAAATGTTTCTCTTTCACATTGATGTTTCTCTCCCTCTCTTTCTCTCTTTTTTCCTCTCTCTCTAAATAAATAAAATCTTAAAAAAAAAGAAAAGAAAAATAAAACAAACAAACAGGTCTCTGAAACTTATAGTCTACCGGTTGCAAAATCCCTTTCATCCTTAGACTTCCTAGACTTTTCTCTTCCTCTTCTAAGAGGAAACTTTAGGCTTTCTCCTGAAAGTACAGCTTTTCCTGTAGCCTTGTCAAAGAGTGACTGATTTTTCTTCCAAATACAACTTCCCCTGGGCCTGGAAACGCAGGAGTGAACTTTTTGCTTTTCATGGCTGCTTCCAGATCTTAGTGTGTTCTTCTTCCTAAGATGCCCAGCTCCTTGGAAGCTCCTATACATCCTGCCTTCCTTATAGCTCTTCAGGTGCTAGCTTACTGTTTTTCCTATCACTGGTACTGTAGTTATCCTCAGTATCCACACAGACAACTCATCCAGCACCTGGGTCTTTCCATTTCTTGAGCTCCTCTTGCATCTCAGCATTGCACTCCTCTGTTGATGCTTCAGACTTTATCCCTTCCAAAACCTCAGTTTTAAGCCTCCTTTTCTCTATCTTCTACCTCTGTCATTCTGATTCTCTTCCTTTGTTGGGGAGTAAAAGTGAATTTTTCTCCTATCTTCCTATGTTGGTCTGGCTAGCATGATAATCAAATTACCATGAGATAGATTAACACACGGGAATAACCAAATACATCATGTACACACGGGGGTTCCAAAGAATATGGGGTCTGAAGACATTGGGGAGCTAAGGCTTAGATGCCATTCTGGAGCTAAGGAGAAGGGTGGGTGGACTGTGGTTTGAGACTTGAAAGGGCAGGAAGGCAATTCACATTGAGACAGAAGAGCACATGTTTGTTAAATAAATGTTTGCTGGGCCGTCTTTAGCATGGGACACAGAGAGGGCTTTCAGCAAATGGGCCTAACACACCTAATTCATACTAAACTATAGTAACTTATAATGATAGCTCCCTTCCAGGAGGAGGTCCTCTATTTAAATTCTTTTAGGCATTTAGGGGGAGGGTCAAAAGTTTTTCCTGATGCCCTGGTTGGTGTGGCTCAGTGGACTGAGTGCCGGCCTGCAAACTGAAGGGTTGCTGGTTCGATTCCCAGTCAGGGGACATGGCTGGGTTGTGGGCCAGGTCCTCAGTGGGGGGCACATGAGAGGCAACCACACATTAATATTTCTCTCTCACTCTTTCTCCCTCCCCCCTCTAAAAATAATAATTATTTAATTAAAAAAAGGTTTTTCCTGAGTTTGTTTTCTTGAAAATAAGCAGCTTAAAGTATTCAGTTTCTATCCCAAAAGGCGTATTTTGGGGTGTCAAACTCTGCTTCCCTTCACTTCTAGCTAGTCCCTCTACTCTAATATTTCCTCGACTGTCACTTTTTTATCCTTCATCATTATCTCTTGTGTCCTCATTTCCCGTCTCACTCAGCAGGGTTCTAAGGCTCACCATTATAAGCACTCCCTTACCCTTGATTCTGTTTCTCTCCGTCCTTGTTTGGCAAAATCCCAACCTAGGTTAAAGCCAACATTTCATCTTCATTAACTTGTAGGTTAAACCCTCCATTCTGCGCCTGCACTTATATAGCAGAGTCTGGCTGGAGAAAAAGGTACAGTCAGGTTGATTTGTCTCACTTGAAATCTGTAACCACATCTCCAAGGGGACTCTTAATGATACCTGCCAATTCTACTATATTTCCCTGGTTGATTCATTTACGAGCTCTTTCAGATGATTATTTCACAACTTTTCTCTTCAAACTCTAGTAACTCTTTCCACATCCTCCCTCTCACTAGGAAATTTTCTCACTGAGAAATAAGAGCAGTCAGCAGCATCTGTGTACTCCTTGCCCCAAACCTACCAGTGATCAACATATATACCCTGCCTTCCTTCCAGTTTCCATCAATGCTCCATATGTGCTCTCAAGACCAGACCCTCCCCTGGTGCCCTTGCTCTCATCCCTTTCCCCCTATTTACAGACTTTACCCTTTTGATTCTTCTTTCCTGTCTTGCATCCTCAAAATTTCCCTCTCTACTAAGTTGTTCTGATCAGTTTCCAGATATGCTGCAATATCCCCCATCTTTTTTTATTTTTTTAAAGATTTTTATTTACTAATTTTTAGAGAGCAGGGAAGGGAGGGAGAAAGAGAGAGAGAGAAACATCAATGTGTGGCTGCCTCTCATGTGCCCCCTACTGGGGACCTGGCCCACAACCTAGACATGTGCCCTGACTGGGAATCGAACTGGTGACCTTTTGGTTCGCCGGCTGGCATGCATCCACTGGGCCATACCAGCCAGGGTAATATCCCCCATCTTTAAAAGAAAAAAAAGAAAAGACAACCTCTCTTGATTCTATAAATCCCTCTGGCTATGCCATATATCTCTACTTTCCTTTTATAGCAAAACTCCTCAAAAGCAATGAGAGTTATTTGTATTTACTGTCTTTGCTTTTCCTCTCCTGGTCCAGAATGCTCATCACTCAGGTATTTGCTAGGCTTATTCCTTATTTTACTCAGATTTCTGCTCAAATAGCAAATCCTCAGCATGGCCTTTCTTCACCACTGAATACAAAGATCACCTCCCTTGTGCTCTATTACTTTATCCTGCTTTATTTTCTGTTAAAACACTTCCGTCACAACTTGACCTGAACTGTACGCTCATACATTACTAAGACTATAAGTCCCATGAGGAAAGGAATCTGCTCACTGTTTTATCTCTACTTAGAGCAGTGTCTGACTAGGAGTAGGCACCTAATAAAATATTGAGTGAGATAGTAAAAAAAAAAAAAAAGGAAAAATTGTTGAGCGAGTGAATGAATAAAAGCATCTTATCTACTGTTCTATAAATAGCTTTTTAAAAAATGTAGCAGCCCTGGCTGGTTTGGCTCATTGGATCAAGCGCTGGCCTGTGAACCCAAAAGTCACCAGCTCAATTTCCAGTCCGGGCACACACCTGGGTTGCGGGCCAGGTCCGCTGTTGGGTGCATACGAGAGGCAACTGATGGATGTTTCTGCAGCGCATCCATGTTTCTCTCTCTCGCTTTCTCCCTTGCTTTCGCTCTTGGGGAAAGAATATTAAAAAAAAAATGCCCCCGCTGGTGTGGCTCAGTGGCTGTAGCGTTGTCCTGTAACCGAAAGGTTGCTGGTTTGATTCTTGTTGGGGCACATACGTAGGTTGCAGGTTCATCCCTGGTCTGAATGTGAATGATCCCTGGTCCAAGCATGATCCCCCGTCTGGGTGCATAGGAAGGCAACCGATTGATTCTTCTCTTGTGTAGATGTTTCTCTCCCTTCCTCCCTCTCTCTCTAAAAAAGCAAATGAGAATGCCCGTGGGTGAGGATAAAAAAAAAAGTAACTCTTGTGGAGAGAGGAAGATTTCCCTTTTCCCCTTTTAGTTCCTCTGGCTGGTCTAATAATCACATTGACATGAGACAGATTAACAGGAAGAAATGACCAAATTTAATTAATATATATGCCTACAGTTCATTAGAATATGGGGTCTAAGGACCAACTGGGCAGTTAAGACACATATGCTAAGTTGAGCTAAGGAGAAAGTGGGAGTTGTAGTTGGGACTTTAAAGGAGAGGAAGGCAATTCACATGGAGATAGAAAAGCAAATGTTTTGTCAGTAAATATTTGCTGGGCCATCTCTAACACTGGGACACAGAGAGGAGTTTGAGAAAGTGGGGCCTTGCTGGGTTCCTCCCTGTTTATTACACCTAGTTTTCGTTAAAGTATGATCTATGATGATGGTGCTCTTCCTGGAACAGGTCCTCTAACTCAGTTTTTTAGGCATTTACGGGGAAGGCCAAAGGTTTTCCCAAGTCTTTTGTTTCTTAAAAATAACCAGCTTCAAGTAATCAATACCCCCCAAAAGATATATTTTGGGGTGGCAAACTCTGCTCCCCCTTACAGTGCATAAAGGATATTTTCCCATTTTTAAAAATTGATGCACTATATTCCAATAGAGTTTAACACAAACGTATGTAGCCAGTCTTTTATTGATGGAGATTTTTCTTATGCCTTTTTCTGCTCTTTGCAAACATCCTTGTTTATATATCTTTACATACTTGAAGGAAAGTTCTGACAGCAGAAATATTATGTCAAAAGGCATGTCTGTGGTTAATTTTTATAGATATTACCAGTTTGCCTCCCACCCAGCAAGTTTGTATCCTGTTATATGGCTGCCAGTGGCGCATGTGAATGCCTGTTTCCCATGTCCTTGCTCAGAATGAGTCTTTTCTCCCCTCTAAATTATTTTATTTCAATATTGAAAGGAGACAGATTAATTTTCTTTAGATGCACAATTAAAGCCCAAACTGAGTTTTACTAAGCTTTTAAAAAAATGTCTGATCTTTTTTATTACTCTTTCTTTTTTAAATGATCACTTGAGGGTATTTAATTGAGGGTAAATCAGTTTTTAATTGATTTTAGAGAGAAAAAATATCGACATGAAATGTTAGGGTGGTCAGTGACGCAGGCTATGAAAGAATTCACAAAGAGAACAAAATGCAGATAACAAAGTTCTTATTCACTTTCTGAGAGTGGAAAGGGGCATGGTGTGGAGAGACACACCAGCACTGGGGGTGGGGCCTCGCGCTTTTACCGGATTACAATTGTGTTACGAAAGGGTGGGGGGCGTTGCTGCTGTGTGGCCCCTGGGCTGTGGGGGGCGTTGCAGCACAGCGGTTTGCGTGGTTTTGCATAAACTGCAGTTTGCGCCAATGTTTTCTTCTGCTTGCAGCTTTTGGGGGTGGTTAGTCACATTCTGCTCTTGCTTTCCAGTAATTTCCAGTCTTGGGGACATAAACTCAGAAGAATAAAATGGCAGCCATGTTTAACAAGGTCATAGGCCTGCTTGGCAAATGGTGCCACAATAGCAAATGGCACCGGCCTTATCATTTCATGGGAGAAACATCAATTGGTTGCCTTCTGTATGTGCCCACACTGGGAATTGAACCCACATTATTTCCAAAAAATATTTTATTTTTTAGAGAGAGGGGAGGTGAGGAAGAAAGAGCAGGAGAGAAACATCCATCAGTTGCCTTCATAGGCTACCTGGCCAGGGACTGAACCCAACTGAATTTGCAACCCAGGGCATGTGCCTTGACTGGGAATCAAACCAGTGACCTTTTGCTTTGCAGGACAATGTCCAACCAACGGAGCTGCATCAATTAGGGCTAGATCATTTTGACTGTACTCAAAGGTGGACTCTCGTCTCTTGGCAATCTGTTCCTGGCATTTTTCTTTGCCTTCCTTCACTCTCTTAGTAAAGAGTTTAGCGTATTCTGCTGCGTCCTCCTATTGTTCTTAGCACACTGTTTCTTTAGAGCAACCCACTGACATTTGTATTGGAAGACTTGTGGAGTAATAAGACACTGAATCTTGGGTGCTTTTTTCCTATGTTTCTTACCTTCTTTGTTTAGGGGCTTTCTCACAACATACTGGCGGACATAATCTTCTTTAGAGATTGAAAAGTTTGCAGACTCTGCTAGCTCTTTTGGGCCCCAGTCGACGAGTCGCAGTAGTATCTGTGAGACCAGGAATATCTTTCTCCCCCTTTTTTACAAGGGCCAAGTTGAGAGCACTGAGGTTGGTGCAGCCCTGTAACCCTGAATAGTGTTGTGCTTTCTTCAGTCCTCCTTGGTCTATAACAGAAACCCCCCTTACTCAGTAGCAGGCAAACAGGATCATGGCAAGACGCCCTGCCTCCTGGGAAAACCTCATTTGTTTTTCCCGTCACTGATTCGAACGACATAACCCTTCCATTTTTCACCCAGGGCATTGGCAGCAACTTCTGTGGTCATGCGTGTCTTGTAAAAGGTATGAAGTTTGTGTTCATTGTCCACTTCAACGAGTTTCTGGCAACCAGTGGCTGGGAAGGAAATGTTCAGTTTCGCCCTGAAGCAGCTGACTGCTTCTGAGGTGCCATGAAGAGTTACCAAGCTTTTAATTTTTGCCAGTCTAACAGGTGAAAATGGTATTTGTTCTAATTTATATTAGTTTTTAAATTCTGAGTGAAATACATTAAAAAAACTTTTTCATGGGCATGTATATTGCTTTTTCTGTGAACTGCTTGTTTATTTCTTTTATCAGAGAGCTTTTCTTTTTCGCATTGATTTTTTTCTAGCTCTTTATAGAATGAATAAATTAGCTTTTGTCTATTATGTGTGTTGTGAATATTTTTCCCTAACTTCCCTTCTGTCCTTTGACTTTATTTTGGGTAGTTTTTTGCCATACAGACTATAAAAAATTTTTATGTAGTCAAGTTATCAAACTTTCCCTCAGTGGCTTGTATGTTTTATGTCATGCTTAGAAAGCTCTCCCCCAATTTAATATATTTTAAAAAAAGACACACCACACTTTATTTTATTAAAATTTTCCTACTGATGTGAAATACCACCTTTATTAATTATCCAATTATTCCCTTGTGTATTTTGGGTCTCTTTATTCTGTTTCATTCATCTGTTTATTATTTAGTAACAATCTCATTTACTGTAATTTTATAGTATGCTTTAATAACCTGTAGGGTTGTTGCTCTCTTATTTTTCAGACTTTTACTGGTGGATCTCATGTGTTTATTTTTCAAGAAGAATTTTAGTAACATTTAATCATGTTTAAAAGAATCCTGTATATTGTTGATTAGGATCATGTATATATATTTTAGGGAATATTGACATCTTATACTATTGAGCCTTTCTCTCTAAGGAGAGGTATGTTTTTCTATTTATTCAAGTTAAATTTTTTTTAATTTATCAATTTTAGAAAGAGAGACATCGATTTGTTGCTCCACTTATTTACGCATTAATTGGTTGATTTTTTAAAAAAGATTTTATTTATTTTTAGAGAAAGGGGAAAAGGGGAAAAGAAACATTGATCACTTCCCTCTTGCACACCTGCAACCAGGGACCCGAACACAACCAGACATGTGCCCTGACTGGGAATCCAACTGGTGACCTTTTGGTTTGCAGGACATTGTCCAACCCGCTGAGCCCCACCAGTCAGAGCTCATTGGTTGATTCATGTGTGTGCCCTGAGAGGGGGTCAAACCCACAACCCTTGGCGTATTGGGACGACACTCCAACCAACTGAGCTACTTTGCCAGGGTTCCAATTTTCTTTTATATTAAATACATTGTCTAAGACCCAATTTCCAGTGTGGCGGGGCTTGCCTCATTAACATAACAAAAGACACCATCACTCTCAACGCTTAGGAAATTCTAAAGCTTTTGGGAGTTGTGAGTCTGGAACTGTGGAGGAAGACCACATATACATGAGAATTATATTTTGGTTGGTCACTTGAATGACCAAATGTATATTTTTTATAAATCACAATATCCCATATATCAGTGATACTGTGATTCAGTTCAGTTTTCTTTACAAAAGCTTAAGTGATTTCTACATTTATGCTAAGTGCTTTATTGTCCTTTCTTATTATTTTAAATGGGATCTTTCTTAGCTTAGTTTCTAACTGGTTAACATTTATATATATAAAAGGTATTGGTTTTTTAATATTAATAATATAATCAGATACTTTATCCTTTCTAATATTTTTTTGGGGGGAGGGGGAGAAATACAGAATCGTGGATAAGGGTATAAGCTCTGAATCAAACAATCTGGGCTCAGATGCAGGTTCTGGCATATATCATCCCTGGTTAGTTACTTAATCTTTCAGAGCCTTACTTTTTCATCTGTGAAATGGACTCATAATAACGTTTTTTGTTGGGTTGGTCTTGCATTTATTCAGTCAGTACTCTGCCCTGCCCTGGTGCTGTCCTAGGCTTTGGGTTACGGTGGTGAGCAGGCCCCTGCGACGTGCCGGACAGTCTCCCCGCCATTGGCTGTACAGTGGTGAACAGGATGGACGAGGTCCCTGCGCTAATGGAGCCTTTCATTCCAGTAGATTATGAAGATTAAATGAAGTCAAAACATGTAATGTGTTCAGCATAATGCGTGGAACAGTCAGCACTATAAAGTGCTTGCACTTGTTGAAATGTTAGCCATTATGATTATTTTTTTTTCTCCCTCAGTACACAATGATATAATGGCTGAATAATAAGAGGTGCATTTTCCCCTTCTTTCCTAACACTTGTTATACTTTTTATTTCTTTCTCTCGACTCTGTTTCCTGTCCCCTCCCCCCTCCACCGATACAGTGTTACACTGGGCATCTTTGCCTTCCACTGGCGATACTCATAGTATTATACAATTAAGTGTGATTGTGGCTTTTTAAAAACTCTTGTATAGCTCTTCTATGGATTAGCTCTGTGCCATCTATAGATTTGGCAAGTCTCCTCTGGCTTCATCCAAATGTTGATTCAGATGTTTAGCATGGAACTGTGCCTGAGGCACCATTTTCTGGTTTGACATGGATGCATTGTTCAACAGTCACGGTTTGGTTGTGACTGTTTATCTGGCAACAAATTTTTTGGTCCTGATGGTCCAGCTTACAGTACCCTCTGATTTCATAGGCCTGTCACTAGAGACTTGGTCAAGGGTCCCCTAGAAAAAAAATACCTTGTGTCTTTGCCATTTCCCTGATCTACCAGGGTAGTGACTCAAATGGAAAAATGAGAAGACATCAGGTTTATGCAAATGAGTACCCAAGCATTGTGAAATTCTCTAGCTTTCTCTGAAGCAAGAGGGTGGTCAGAGTGCGTCTGTGTCTACAAGGGCTCCCCAAATGTCCTTGGACAGATCCCAGGGCTGGTGCAGTAGTGCAGATCCAGGGCTGGAACCTACCCACACCTGCAGGTGAAGGCCCAAATGTGTGTATCCCTCCCCAGCTCTGCACTCAGTGACATGTTTGTGGTTCATAATGTGCTGTGGCAGGAGTATTTACACCCCAGCAAACACTGTGCTGCCGCCCCGTGGAGTTGGGCACCACAACAGCAGTGTCTTGGGGCTGCAGCCTTGTCCTGAATATGTGGGGCAGGTCCTGAGGGAAGGGGATGACAGCCAGCAATTTCTCCCCCTCTCCCTGTCTCGGAAATGTTGTTGTAACCCCACGCCTCCCTTTGGTGTCTCCTCAGGATGTGGGCTCCTTAGATGAGAAGATGAAGAGCTTGGATGTGAATCAGGACTCAGAGCTCAAGTTCAATGAGTACTGGAGGCTGATTGGGGAGCTGGCCAAGGAAATCAGGAAGGAGAAGGCCTTGGAGATCCGGAAGAAGTAAAGCCGGCTGGCCAGGATGGGGTGGGCAGGGCAGGACCAGGCAGAATCCCATTCCCCCCCAATAAAACCTCCTCCTTAAAACATGAATGTTTCTTATTCACACCCACCCTGATTTCTTCTCTTGAGACTAAGGGGTGGGAAATTTCACTTTGCCCTGACTTGAGGGTAGGTCCAAAAATTATGAGCTCCGTGAAGAAAGGTAATGTTGTTCATCTTCGGATATTCTGCAGCATCTAGCACCTAGATCTTGTGCTCCGGGTAGGTTGTTCAATAAATAAATGGTTGGTGAATGAATGTAGGAAAGACAGAGACAGATCTCTGGAGCAGATGAGGTGACTCATATCCTACCAGGTGCCTCCTAAGGCTCAGGGGCATGCATGGTCTTGGCTCCTGTTTTTCTTATTCCTGGGGTTTATGTCATCGAATGATAATGAAAGCAGTGTACATGTGTTGAGGGCCTGCTATTTCTTGCATTATCTTAGTTAATTCTCACAGCTCTTGGAGGTAGATTCTATTTTTAAGTCCTATATTAAAGAGGAAGAAACAGGTTTTAGAGAGGTTAAGTCACAAAGACAAGATCAGATGCAACTGGGTTGAAATTCCAGAGCCTCTGATGAACTAGTGTCCTGTCTGGGTGGGCGCTTGAGAAGACTGGACTCTCCTTCCCTCCCTCCTCCCTCGAGGGCAGGGGTGAAGCAGAGGGATGAACACAAGGTTCTGGTTCCAGGGCTGTGGGGTGAGGGCGGTGGAGGTCCTGCAGGAAGCAGAACTTTAGGGTGCCATGGTGCCCCTCTCCCTGTCCTTGGCATGAGGGGTATGTGGCTTGCACTGCCTGCCACCAGAGGGAGAAAGGGTGGGGCAGCCTAGTGGGCACCACCTTCCAGGGGATGTCACTGCATGCCATCAGGTGTCCATCTGAGGTAGCTCTTAGTCTGGAGGAACATGTACGTTCTCTACCTCACACCATGATAGGGTCCTAGATTGAGACTTTCTATCTGAGCGCCCCCAGACTGAGACACCTTAGCGGGATCCTTAGACTGAGACTCCTGGGGGCCATTTGTCTGAGAGATTCCAGAGTGGTTCCCACACTGAGGGGGTCTCCCACAGGGAGAAAGCCTAGATGGGATCCCCAGACTGAGATTCCTCAGAGGGACCCAGGTTGAGGCACTTTTGGAGAAGCCCTCGGATTGAGAGACTTCCAGAGGGTCCCCAGATTGAGACCTCCCAGAGGAGCTCTCAGAAGGACACTCTTGGAAGGGCTTCATTGAGACCCTAACAGATGCCTCTCATTGAGGCCACAAGTACAGGGGAGCCCTAAAAGGGACTTTAGAGGGGCATTGGGAGTGGTCACCTAAAAAATAAAAGGACAAAGTGAGGCAACATTTATTTGAGATCCAAAAGAATAAATATTCTGGAAGCACTGACAGGCAGAAAGCCAGACAGTCTTCCTATTGGGAGGTGAACAGGAGGTGGGGGGTATTTATGAGAAAGAGAAGGGGAATAATTACAAGGGAAGAGATTGAAGGACTTTTTAATTGTGTTAATACACTAGGAATTTTTTTTTAAGATTTCTAAAAAAATTTTTTTTATTGTTCAGATACATTTGTCTCCATTTACCCACCACCACTTTCCCCTGCTCCTTCTACCCCCACCTCCCTCCCTCCCTCACTCCCTCCCCACTTTAGCTCCATCCATGTCCTTCAAACATGTTCCTTGATTTGACCCTTCCCCTTCCTTTCCCTGCTACCCCCTCCCGCCTATTTATCTGTTTTTAGACAGAAGGGAAGGGAGGGAGAAAGAGGAGAGAAGTATCAATGTGTGGCTGCCTCTTGAGAGTCCCCTACTGGGGACCTGGCCCACAAACCAGGCATGTGCCCTGACTGGGAACGGATCCAGAGACCCTTTGGTTCAGAGGTCGGCCTTCAATCCACTGAGCCACACCAGCCAGGGCAGGAAGGAATTTCTATAGGTGCAGATAAGCTAACATAATGATGTTAATTCTAAGGAACAGTCTTAACTTTTCTATCTGCTTTCCTGTTAATCTTTGCAAACAGTTGTAATTGGATTACAATGCTTTAAGGCTCAGTCCAAAGGTTACTTGTCCAGTTTTAACATTCCAAAGGTTTGAAGGGTGAGATAAACAAGGCAGTTTCTCTGGGATGGCACCCTGGACTCCATTTTAAAGTGGCTTCTTTTAATAAACAAAAATAAATTTTTAAAAAAATAAATAAAAATAAAGTGGCTCTCTTTATTTTACTTTATTTTTCATCAGGTATGCTCTGATCTCTGGGTTTAGGAAAGGAACCCAGGAGCCTTGACTCTGGGCTGCCCCCCATCCTTGCCCTGACCCCCTGCCTTTCTCCCTTCCTCCTCCCCATCGGGTAAGGAGAGCCGAGTCCCTGGACCTGCTCCCTGAGACGTCATCTTCCGTACTGGATTGTGTGTTTGTGTGTATGTGGTTGCTGCGGAGTGGCTGGGTTAGGGAAGCCCTGGGGCTCTGAGAGAGGGAGGAACAGGCAGCCCAACCAGTTTGGAGAGGTTGTTAGCTGCCAGATAATTCATTCGGGCCTTGCACATGTGCATGCTGGTTGAGGGGAGCTGACAGGAAGTCAGGACAGCACCCAGTCTGGTCCCTCTACCCGGCTGCCCCTCTCTGGCCCCTTCCTCCTGATCCAGTCCATCAGGACTGAGGGAGGCTGGGGTATGGGATCTGGGCAGGCTTGAGTGTCACTGACCACAGTGGTCCTGGTGAGAAGTGTGTGTGTGTGTGTGTGTGTGTGTGTGTGACACATCAAAGTACGGAGAGGTCCCTGATGACCTCTCTCCACTCATGTGCCCCTCATTTCCTATGTACCACCAACCCTGCCTTGATCAGCATCTGCTTCTCCTGGTTATTAACTCAGCGCCCCTCCGTTTCCCTGCCCTACAATTCCTCCAGGCCTTTCCTCCCAAGCTCGACTCTACAGTGTTTCCAATCCTCCCCCTTGTCCCTTCCCTGCTTCTCCTCCCCTATCTTTTCCCTGGACTCTGCCTCCTGGTCTGGGGCCAGGGACACCTCAGATACAACCTCCCACGGCTCCCTCCTCTTGGCGGGGATGGCAGCGGGCTCTGGAGCTCTGGCCAATGGAGGGTGGGGCACGCACAACTGGCTCACCACCCAGGCAGCCGAAATAGCAGGGGTGGCTTAGGGATGAGGCCCAGCCCCTGCCTCCCCTCCCTTCCCCCAGGTATAAGAGCTGAGCTCAGGTGAGCTGGCTCATCCTGTCCTGTCTCAGAGGCTGTCAGCAGGTAAGGATACCTAGGGCTTTTCACCCAAAATGGGCTGCCCCTGTCCAAAGAGCACGGCTAGCCTATCCTGCCCTAGACTACCAGGGAAAGGGCTGGAGGGTGGGCCCTGGAGGCTGGTGTGTGTGCGTGGAACTGAAGTGGGTACTTGGAGGAGGGGGAAGGAGTGAAGCTAAGGTGAGGGATTCTTTCTAAATGGGTTGGCCTGGGTGCCAGAATATCTGGAGTGGAGCCAAAAGGGCTAGTTGAAAAAGAAATCCTGGGATCTGCCGCCTCCTCAGCCTCCCCATTGCTCTAGGCAGATCATGAGCCTTCGGCTCCTCCAGGGCAGGCTGTAGGACAACACAACTCTCGCCAAAGGACCAAGCACACCAGGCACCATGGGACAGTGTCGGTCAGCCAACGCCGAGGTGGGCCCATTCATTCCTGGCCTGTCTTTCTGTTGTTCTCATACTCTTCTCTCCTCAGAGGGTCTGTGTTCCCCATGGACTTCTGCTCCCTCACCTTGGCCTACCCTCCAGACTCTGCCTATGAGACTGGGACCCCCTTTCTGGTGCCCAGAACCCCATTTCTGGTGCCCACACAGGGTGATGCAGATGGAGGCCTCCTGGGAAGAGGATGCCTGGGCCATGTGCTGAGACCTGCCCTGCTTGGGGGGGAGGGGCTGGGGTGGTGGGAAGGAAGCCTTGTCCAACCTGTAGCTCAGGGCAGAGGCCAGTAGGGGTGAGGAGGGCTGCATGCTGGGCTTTGGAGTGGGCGGGAGCCGGTGTGCCTTCCAGCTGCCTTCTGCCATGTTGGCCTGGCTGGGCTCCTGGGGAAAGCAGGGGGTGGTAGAGACTCCCTGATGGGGTGATGTCCCTCACACTCAGGATGCCCAGGAATTGAGTGACGTGGAGAGGGCCATTGAGACCCTCATCAAGAACTTTCATCAGTACTCGGTGGAAGGTGGGAAGGAGACGCTGACACCCTCTGAACTACGTGACCTGGTGACCCAGCAGCTGCCTCACCTCATGCCGGTACTGAGGGGGTAACCCCACACCTGGCAGAACACTGATTTATTTCCCAAGCAAATGCTTCAAGGCCCCACCCACACAGAGACAGCCTCTGGCACTAGCACCCCCTAGCCCTTCCCCCTTGCCAGTGCCAGGTAGACTCAGGCCCTACTTCCGGCCCCTGGGCAGGGCGGGGTGGGAAGACTGGAAGGTGTTGCCTCCCTGAGCTGTGGTGTCTTTCCTCCCTCCAGAGCAACTGTGGGCTGGAAGAGAGGATTGCCAACCTAGGCAGCTGTAACGACTCTCAGCTAAAGTTTGGGAGTTTCTGGGAGCTGATTGGAGAAGCAGCCAAGAGCGTGAAGCTGGAGAGCCCTGTCCGGGGGAGCTGAGAACCTTCCCCTGGGATTCTTGGGGGGATTTTGGGGATAGGGGACCTTAGAGACTGTGGGCATGGAAATAAATCTCTCTTTACCATCACCACACTGTTCCCCAGCTCGCACCTTTCTCACCTCTGCAAGGTTCAGGTTCCTTATGGCCCCCCCACGGGGTCTCTGCACCTAAACCCTGGGAGCTCCATGGAGCTAATGGGTCCAGGAGGGGTCTGGGAGGGATGGATGTGGAGGGGTAAGGATGGTGTGAGGGCCGCCCCTTTTGATAGCGGGTGCAAGACAGAGGAGCTGGGCTATGGGAAACGATTGGAAAGGGCTGGAAGTTTGTATTAGAAATGATCTCTAAGAACCTACCCCTCCTAAGCTCTTCCGCAGTCCAATTAGCTATCTGTCCAATGCTCTCTCTTCCGGGCTCCAGCTCTTCCCCAGCCTCCTCCCAGGGCTGTCCTTGGGCAAGGGTGGGGGAAGTGGGAGCACAGGGCGGGGACAGGCTAAGGAGGGTGCAACCTTGGGAGTGAGAAGAACCAGCTGGGTGCTTGGGCATTTAAAGAATGATGGTTATTTTGTATCATTTGATTAATAAAAAATGGAAAAAGTGAAAGATGTCTTGACTGAACACCCTCCTTCCAGGCCCATTGGTCCATGGGTGAGGGCGGTTGGGGAGGATGGCAGTCAACGGGTGGAGAGGCACATTTGGGGCTGCAGCGGTTGTCGGTGGAAGTGAGTGGGGACCCACTTAACTCCATGGATTTAGGCCCAAGAGGTGGGAGACCCGGTCCTCTGTGAGGGACAAGCTCGTCTTTGCCCCTGGGCTGGCCCTCTGAAAGGAGAGGAAGGCCTGAGTGCACACCTGGGATATGCACCCAGGTGTGTTAGAGCCTGGCTGACGGCCTGGGTGGGCATGCTCTCGATATCAGCTTCCTAGTCTCTAAAATGGGGGTATCAATAGTGCTCCCCTCACAGGATTGTTAGGAGACTCATTCAAGGCATCCTGTACTGAGCAAGGAGCCTGACGCAGCGGGTGCCTGGGGAGCCGAAGTCACAGCTGTCGGAGTAGGTGAACGGGTCCCCTCTGGTTTCAGCTGCTGCCTCCCCGTGGGGCTGTATAACTGGCCAGTTTCCTTGGTTATCTCGGGGAAGGGCTAGAGGGTGTTTCCAGAGGAATCCTCTGCTGAGAGGCCCCAGGGATGGGAGTCAGGAGAGCTGCTGGTGGGCTGGCCTGGAGATGGAAGTCTGGGGGGCCAGTGTCTGGTCCCTGGTGTCTGCCTTCAGACTTGAGCGCACAAAAATCAGGCATAACCCTTGAAATCCCAAGAGCAAGGAAGTTTCTGTGGCTAGCCCAGCCGTCCTGGAAAGCTAACTGAACTTGTCTGTTTGGGGCCCCCGAAACTGAGCTCCCAGTGACCCAGGTGAGAAGGGCAGGTGACAGTCCTCTTCCTTTTTCCACCCGGTAGGTTCTGTGAGGCCCTGCGGGGCTAGGAGGGTGGAGTTGGGGGAGTGCCAGCTTCCACCACACCTTCTAGGGTGGGGGCGGAGGGGAGTTAAAAAAGGTGTGTATCCCTTTAACAGGGACATAATCCCAGGCCAAGTAAAGAGGGAGTTCAGTCACTACCTCCCCACTGAGCCAGCTCAGCCAGGCAGGGAAGGAGGGAGTGGGACACGTTCTGGGAGTGCGGCGGGGAGGAGTCCTGGCTGGGCTGAGCGAGGGCTGCTGCTTGACGGTGCCAGAGCCCAGGCCCCAGAGCCTTGCTGGAGAGGAGGTGAACCCAGGAGGCAGGTGAGCACCCCAGGCCCGTCCTGGGAGGTCTGGGACTGCCCGAGAGGCCCCACAGGCTTGGGAGGCCAGGAGAAGGGGCATTGAAGGGGCCCTGGGGAGGGGGGCCTGCCAGTGGCTGGGCGGGGGAGGTTTCGTTCATGATTAACTTTCCCTAAAGGCTGGTTTGTGAATGGAGAACTCTGGTGGGATTGGGGACTGGAGAGGCCTTCAGAGGAGTGTGGAGGTCAGGGGGTGAGACCCCCTCCCCAGCCCAGCAGCTGCCTGGGCTCCTCTCCAGGGGCTGGGCCACTGGGCAGGGTGTTTGGAAGCTTTGCCCGCAGCTGCCCTGATCTTCCCCCAACAGAAAATTAGTGCTGGTGGGGTCAGACCCTGCACACAGGCCTCACTGGCCTCTGGGAGCTGTGTCCTGGGAGAGGCGCTTTGATCCAGGAAAAGCCAGGGAGGGCCTAGGAAGCCTGAGAGCCTGAGGGGTGCTGAGGTGGCTTCTCTCCCCCTCAGGACTCAGGAAAGTCCCTGGACTCAGGCGTCCTTGTGCTCGGAGAGCGGTTTTTTTGGGAGGGCAGATGGGACCGGAGGGAACCTGGGTGACATCCCAGGGGAGCTTGGAAGCTCCGGGAGAGGGGCCAGGAGCCTGGGCAGCTTCTCATCCACCTCAGGACCCAGGCAGGTTCTGGCTTGAATGGCTTTGTTTGGCGGAGCCACTTGCAGTATGGGAGCATTCCCTTGCCCAGCCCTGTCCGGGTGGGGGTGCGGGTGAGGCTCCGTGGGGGTGAGGGCAGAGGTGCTGGGGGAGGGAGCGCTGGATGAGCTGCTGCGAGGGGCTCAGCCTTTTCCCACCCACGAGTAAAGAGCTCTCTGGCGTTGGTGAGGCCACGGGTGGCAGTGTGTGTCTGTGCACCCGTGTGTGTCCATAACAAACTCTTCCAACTTCACTTTTCTGGAAAAAATTTCAGAGGAGCAGGCTCTTTCTCCAGTTACAGTCTCCAAAAACACAAGTGGGTGGAAAGTAAATGGGTTCCTCAAGCAGAGGGGATCAGGGATGGCAGAGCCCTCACTCTGTGTATGTGTATGTGTGAATTAGATGCAGTGAGTCCTATGAAGTGGCGAGGGGTGAGGCAGGGGCACTTGTGTGATGTGTAGTAGCCTCTGGGACTAGGAAAAGACCCTGAGAAGATGGAGCAGAAAATGGGGATGATGAGGCTGAAGTGTGAAACAGTCTTGGAAATTGAGTAAAGCATTACCAGGCACTTCAGATTACACCTTCCCTGTATATTAAAGTGAATTAAGGAAATACATGAATGAGTGAGTGAGAATGAATGAGTCAATAAATGAATAAATGAGTCAATGAATGAATAAGCAAATGAATGGTGAATAAATGAATGAAGAAATTTGAGGGAGATGGAAGGAACCCAGAGCATGCCAAATTTAGGCTCCAGAGTGGGCTAGGTTCTAGAGAGGAAGGTGACTAGGAGGGATCGGAGTCCAGGGACATATCCCAACACTTGGAAGCAGTTTAAGGTTCAAGACATGTTTGTGGAGGTGGGAGAGGAAGGTGAATTTTGGAGAGTATGGTGGATGTTCAGGGCTCCCGATTGAAGGGGACTAGAGTTGAAGACATGGGGGATGGTTAGGAGGCACTTGGAGGGGTGGGGCCCAGAACTGGGGGTGGTTTGGGAGGGTGGGGCTGGAGTGGCTGAAACCCAGGAGCATGGTGTCAGGCAATTTGGGCTTTTGGAGAAGTCATCAAGTCATCAAGTCATCAAGCTGAGCTGAGATAAACAGAGTAGGGACGGGGCCTTTTGGTTGCTCAGTGATGATTCAGCCAAGGAGAAGACAATGAGAACATTGCTGGAGGGTGGAGGGCCCCAGGTGAGGGAGCTCTTTAGGGAACCGGTGGTCTCCCTATTTCCACTGCTTGGGAGGGCCCCAGGTGAGGGAGCTCTTTAGGGAACCGGTGGTCTCCCCATTTCCACTCCTTGGGAGGGCTCCAACGTACTTGTCTACCAACTCTCAAGTCAATGCAGGACAAGATGCTGCCTAGTTCCCACCTCGCCCCAATCCTGTGCCTGGGACCGTCCAGTCTAGTTGGTGGGAGGATGGGACAGGCAGGAGGAGCAGGTGGCTATGACATCAGTGTAGTGGCAAAGCCTGTCTTCTGGCCCCCAGGGGAGGGAGGAAGGGCGGAAGAGGGTAGTCACCTGACTATCTCACTCTGACATTCTTCTTTCAGAAAGGCATTTATCCAGACATATCTCCAGCCTCGAACATTTGACTAGAGGTGCAGGGGTGGGGCAGACCATTGGGAGGCCTGGGAACCCACCTCTCTGGGGTGATTTGCACAGCTGACAGCAGGTGGCTGATTACCACCTAGGGGCTTACCTGGGTCCTGCCTACTTGGCTGCCAGAGGTGCGGTAGGGATTGTGGAATGGTACCAAGGAAGGGTGGGGGGTTCCTCTGGTCAGAGAAATAAGACCCCAAGAAGTCAGGACTTTGGGAAAAGGGGTAAGGCACACCCCCTCCAAAAACAGATTTCTTTCTCTTTCCTCCTGTTTCCCACAAAATTCCTCATTCGGGGAACAAGGTCTGGGATGGTTAAGGGTGGGAGGTGTTCTCTGAACTCTCTTGCTGCTCATGAAGCTTGGTTGGGAGTAGACCGGGCACAGTCCTTGCTGGCATGGGAAGAACCTTTAGAATCCTGCAGTGCTGGTTTCATACTTCATCCTTTGGCCACAGACCAGGGGAGAGAAGGACAGGATTCCTGGTCAGAGATGACTGCAGTCTGGTCCCTTGCCCTCTCAAGTCTCTTTCCTTCCTGCATCCTGGCCTAGTCTCATTCTTCCTTCTGAAAAAACTTGGCAAAAAACAAAAAATCAAACAAACAACCTTAGAAGGGTGGTCAGGGGCTTTGCATACCTGGTGTCAGGGCTGGAAGGAAGTGGGACATTCATAGGACATCTTCCTTGAGCAAAGCACTGGGCTGAGCAATACAGGCCAGGTGAGATACAGAGATTAAAAAAGCAGGGAGGTTGTCTATCAAGGATTAAAAAAAATAAATAAATCCCAAGGTCTCATCCTTCTGTGTGGTTCAAAAAAACACAATTGCTTGATTCCAGTAATTTCTGGTGTCTGGGGAGACAAGACCCAGGAAAAGGCTGCAGCCACGCCAGTGCTGACTGAGTTTGTAGGAGCCAGGGGAGGAGGGCGTGGGGGGTAGCGGTCAGGGCAGACTTGCCGTGGGAGGTGCAGTGCCAGCGGGCTTTCAGCTAGGTGAGGAGGGCACGGAGGGGGCCCCCGGGGGATTAGAGAGCAGGTGGCAAGGACAGGGACTGAAACTGTGGATGCCCAAACTCTTACAGTGGCTGTGTTTGCCTTCCCTAGCCAGGACCTGATGGGCAGGGTGGCTGCAGCTCATTCCTGGGCTTGGGGGTGGGAGGGGAGGTTCATTTGCCCTGGTTCACTTGGGGGGGCACTGGGCATGGGCGGCGACTCAGTAGACCCGCCTGTTCCCTTCATATCCTGTTATTCAGAAGGCTGTATCCGCTGGGAATGTGAGCTCCTTTTGTTCTGGGGTGAGGGGTGACCGTGTGGCCTCTGGCTGGCTACGGCTCTGTCTCCAGCCGGGGCAGACCTGGCCTGGCTCCTCTTTAGGTAATGGGGCGAAGGGTCCTTGTGTCCTGCTGTATATTGCGGGGTGGGTTTGAAGGAGGCCAGGTCAGCAGGGTGTGGCTGGGAGTCTGCGGAATGTCTGTCTCAGTGAATCAGGACATTGTCCTTACCCAGGAGCAGCGAGGGCCTGAGACTCCAGACT